TCTCTCTGGTCTCTCTCTGGTCTCTCTCTGTCTCTCTGGTCTCTCTCTGGTCTCTCTCTGGTCTCTCTCTGGTCTCTCTCTAGTCTCTCTGGTCTCTCTCTAGTCTCTCTGGTCTCTCTCTGGTCTCTCTCTAGTCTCTCTGGTCTCTCTCTGGTCTCTCTCTGGCCTCTCTCTGGTCTCTCTCTGGTCTCTCTCTCTGGTCTCTCTCTCTGTCTCTCTGGTCTCTCTCTAGTCTTTCTGGTCTCTCTCTGGTCTCTCTCTGGTCTCTCTCTGGTCTCTCTCTAGTCTCTCTGGTCTCTCTCTGGTCTCTCTCTGGTCTCTCTCTAGTCTCTCTGGTCTCTCTAGTCTCTCTGGTCTCTCTCTGGTCTCTTTCTGGTCTCTCTCTGGTCTCTCTCTGGTCTCTCTCTGGTCTCTCTCTGGTCTCTCTCTGGTCTCTCTCCTGGTCTCTCTCTGGTCTCTCTCTAGTCTCTCTGGTCTCTCTCTGGTCTCTCTCTAGTCTCTCTGGTCTCTCTCTGGTCTCTCTCTAGTCTCTCTGGTCTCTCTCTGGTCGTCTCTCTGGTCTTACTCTAGTCTCTCTGGTCTCACTCTAGTCTCTCTGGTCTTACTCTAGTCTCTCTGGTCTCTCTCTAGTCTCTCTGGTCTCTCTCTAGTCTCTCTGGTCTCTCTCTAGTCTCTCTGGTCTCTCTCTAGTCTCTCTGGTCTCACTCTAGTCTCTCTGGTCTCTCTCTGGTGTCTCTCTGGTCTCTCTCTGGTCTCTCTCTTGTCTCTCTCTGGTCTCTCTCTGGTCTCTCTCTCTCTAGTCTCTCTCTGGTCTCTCTCTTGTCTCTCTCTGGTCTCTCTCTGGTGTCTCTCTTGTCTCTCTCTCTAGTCTCTCTCTGGTCTCTCTCTTGTCTCTCTCTGGTCTCTCTCTGGTGTCTCTCTCTGTCTCTCTCTAGTCTCTCTCTGGTCTCTCTCTCTAGTCTCTCTCTGGTCTCTCTCTCTGGTCTCTCTCTGGTCTCTCTCTAGTCTCTCTCTGGTCTCTCTCTCTGTCTCTCTCTCTTGTCTCTCTCTAGTCTCTCTCTGGTCTCTCTCTCTGGTCTCTCTCTGGTCTCTCTCTGGTGTCTCTCTGGTCTCTCTCTGGTCTCTCTGGTCTCTCTCTGGTGTCTCTCTGGTCTCTCTCTGGTCTCTCTCTGGTCTCTCTCTGGTGTCTCTCTGGTCTCTCTCTGGTCTCTCTCTTGTCTCTCTCTGGTCTCTCTCTGGTCTCTCTCTCTAGTCTCTCTCTGGTCTCTCTCTTGTCTCTCTTTGGCCTCTCTCTGGTCTCTCGCTGGTCTCTCTCTAGTCTCTCTCTGACCTCTGTTTGGTCTCTCTCTGGTATCTCTATAGTCTCTCTTTAGTTTCTCTCTAGTCTCTGGTCTATCTCTGGTCTATCTCTGGTCTCTCTCTGGTCCCTCTCTAGTCTCTGGTTTCTCTCTCTGATCTTTTTTTGCCTATGAACCTGCAACACATTGGCCTCTCAAAGTCATAGATCTCCTCAGTTTCCCAGCAGCCTCAGCCTCTGCCTCAGCCTCTGCCTCTGCCTCTGCCTCTGCCTCAGCCTCTGCCTCAGCCTCTGTCTCTGCCTCTGCCTCTGTCTCTGCCTCTGCCTCTGTCTCTGCCTCTGCCTCAGCCTCTGCCTCTGCCTCTGTCTCTGCCTCTGCCTCAGCCTCTGCCTCTGCCTCTGCCTCTGTCTCTGCCTCTGCCTCTGCCTCTGCCTCAGCCTCTGCCTCTGTCTCTGCCTCTGTCTCTGCCTCTGCCTCAGCCTCTGCCTCTGCCTCAGCCTCTGCCTCTGCCTCTGTCTCTGCCTCTGCCTCTGCCTCAGCCTCTGTCTCTGCCTCTGCCTCTGTCTCTGCCTCTGCCTCTGCCTCAGCCTCTGCCTCTGTCTCTGCCTCTGTCTCTGCCTCTGCCTCTGCCTCTGCCTCAGCCTCTGCCTCTGCCTCTGCCTCTGTCTGCCTCTGTCCTCTGTCTCTGCCTCTGTCTCTGCCTCTGTCCTCTGCCTCTGCCTCTGTGCTCTGCCTCTGCCTCTGTCCTCTGCCTCTGTCTCTGCCTCTGCCTCTGTCTCTGCCTCTGTCCTCTGCCTCTGCCTCTGTGCTCTGCCTCTGCCTCTGTCCTCTGCCTCTGCCTCTGTCCTCTGCCTCTGTCTCTGTCCTCTGCCTCTGCCTCTGTCCTCTGCCTCAGCCTCTGCCTCTGTCTCTGCCTCTGTCTCTGCCTCTGTCCTCTGCCTCTGCCTCTGTGCTCTGCCTCTGCCTCTGTCCTCTGCCTCTGCCTCTGTCCTCTGCCTCTGTCTCTGTCCTCTGCCTCTGCCTCTGTCCTCTGCCTCAGCCTCTGCCTCTGTCTCTGTCTCAGCCTCAGCCTCAGCCTCTGCCTCTGCCTCTGTCCTCTGCCTCTGCCTCTGCCTCTGCCTCAGCCTCTGTCTCTGTCCTCTGTCCTCTGCCCTCTGCCTCTGTCCTCTGCCTCAGCCTCTGCCTCTGTCTCTGCCTCTGTCTCAGCCTCTGCCTCTGTCTCTGCCTCTGCCTCTGTCTCAGCCTCTGCCTCTGTCTCAGCCTCTGCCTCTGCCTCAGCCTCTGCCTCTGTCCTCTGCCTCTGCCCTCTGCCTCTGCCCTCTGCCTCAGCCTCTGCCTCTGCCTCTGTCCTCAGCCTCTGCCTCTGCCTCTGCCCTCTGCCTCTGCCCTCTGCCTCAGCCTCTGCCTCTGCCTCTGCCTCTGCCTCAGCCTCTGTCTCTGTCCTCTGTCCTCTGCCCTCTGCCTCTGTCCTCTGCCTCAGCCTCTGCCTCTGCCTCTGTCTCAGCCTCTGCCTCTGCCTCTGCCTCTGTCTCTGCCTCTGCCTCTGTCTCAGCCTCTGCCTCTGTCTCAGCCTCTGCCTCTGCCTCTGCCTCTGCCTCTGTCTCTGCCTCTGCCCTCTGCCTCTGCCTCTGCCTCTGCCTCTGCCTCTGCCTCTGCCTCTGCCTCTGCCTCTGTCCTCAGCCTCTGCCTCTGCCTCTGCCCTCTGCCTCTGCCCTCTGCCTCAGCCTCTGCCTCTGCCTCTGTCCTCAGCCTCTGCCTCTGCCTCTGCCTCTGCCTCTGCCTCAGCCTCTTCCTCTGCCTCTGTCTCTGCCTCTGCCTCTGCCTCTGTCTCAGCCTCTGCCTCTGTCTCTGCCTCTGTCTCAGCCTCTACCTCTGCCTCAGCCTCTGCCTCTGCCTCTGCCTCAGCCTCTGTCTCTGTCCTCTGCCTCTGCCTCTGCCTCTGTCTCAGCCTCTGCCTCTGTCTCTGTCTCTGCCTCTGTCTCAGCCTCTGCCTCTGCCTCTGCCTCTGCCTCAGCCTCTGCCTCTGCCTCTGCCTCTGTCTCTGTCTCTGCCTCTGCCTCTGTCTCAGCCTCTGCCTCTGCCCCTGCCTCTGTCTCTGCCTCTGTCTCTGCCTCTGCCTCTGTCTCTGCCTCTGTCTCAGCCTCTGCCTCTGCCTCTGCCTCTGCCTCTGTCTCAGCCTCTGCCTCTGCCTCTGCCTCAGCCTCTGCCTCTGTCTCTGTCTCAGCCTCTGCCTCTGTCTCTGCCTCTGTCTCAGCCTCTGCCTCTGCCTCTGCCTCAGCCTCTGCCTCTGTCTCTGCCTCTGCCTCTGTCTCAGCCTCTGCCTCTGCCTCTGTCTCTGTCTCTGCCTCTGCCTCTGCCTCTGCCTCTGCCTCTGCCTCTGCCTCTGCCTCTGCCTCTGCCTCTGTCTCTGCCTCTGCCTCTGCCTCTGTCTCTGCCTCTGTCTCAGCCTCTGCCTCTGCCTCTGCCTCTGCCTCTGTCCTCTGCCTCAGCCTCTGCCTCTGCCTCTGTCTCAGCCTCTGCCTCTGTCTCTGCCTCTGCCTCTGCCTCTGTCTCTGCCTCTGCCTCTGCCTCTGCCTCTGTCTCAGCCTCTGTCTCAGCCTCTGCCTCTGCCTCTGCCCCTGCCTCTGCCTCTGTCTCAGCCTCTGCCTCTGCCTCTGTCTCTGCCTCTGTCTCAGCCTCTGCCTCTGTCTCTGCCTCTGTCTCTGCCTCTGCCTCTGTCTCAGCCTCTGCCTCTGCCTCTGCCTCTGTCCTCTGCCTCAGCCTCTGCCTCTGCCTCTGCCTCTGTCTCTGCCTCTGCCTCTGTCCTCTGCCTCAGCCTCTGCCTCTGCCTCTGTCTCTGCCTCTGCCTCTGCCTCTGTCTCAGCCTCTGCCTCTGTCTCTGTCTCAGCCTCTGTCTCTGCCTCTGTCTCTGCCTCTGTCTCTGCCTCTGCCTCTGCCTCTGCCTCTGCCTCTGCCTCTGCCTCTGTCTCTGCCTCTGTCTCTGCCTCTGTCTCTGCCTCTGCCTCTGCCTCTGCCTCTGCCTCTGCCTCAGCCTCAGCCTCTGCCTCAGCCTCTGCCTCTGCCTCTGCCTCTGCCTCTGTCTCTGTCTCAGCCTCTGCCTCTGCCTCTGTCTCTGCCTCTGTCTCTGCCTCAGCCTCAGCCTCAGCCTCAGCCTCAGTCCCAGGCTCCAGATAACACCCTCCCCCTCGCACTGGTCTGAGGACAGAGATTAGGACCACGTTACATGAAGCAAAAAGAATCTGCCAGTTCTTTAATTATACTCTACGGCTATCACTCTTCACCCTCTGCTTTGTTACAATATTAGTCCATTTACGAATAAATTATCTGCTTTCTCGTCTCAATACGTACATATTGTTAATTAAAATGAGCTCTATACAAAGAGTGGTGAAAGGTGATTAAAATATGAGTTTTAATATAAGTGTGAGAATCTGAAAAGTCCAAAACACTTTAGTTGGAATTTTTGGGATTGGCCTGAGTGTTGTCTATTAAATATTTTTGTGTGATAGAACCAAAAGCAATGGTTAATGAATGTAGAGAGACGTCTTTATGGTCACAATATTGATTAGAGGCAAATAAAACCCCCAGGACCCCTCTGATGTCCTGTCCTCTCAGTGTGAGCTCCTCCCATCCGGCCGCTGCCACAGAGAACACACTAAACTGGTGAAAGAACTGGTTCCTACGTCTGTGAACCTGCTGCAGACCATGAAGCTGCTGCAGACCATGAAGCAGCTGCAGACCATGAAGCTGCTGCAGACCATGAAGCAGCTGCAGACCATGAAGCTGCTGCAGACCATGAAGCTGCTGCAGACCATGAAGCAGCTGCAGACCATGAAGCAGCTGCAGACCATGAAGCAGCTGCAGACCATGAAGCAGCTGCAGACCATGAAGCAGCTGCAGACCATGAAGCAGCTGCAGACCATGAAGCTGCTGCAGACCATGAAGCAGCTGCAGACCATGAAGCAGCTGCAGACCATGAAGCAGCTGCAGACCATGAAGCAGCTGCAGACCATGAAGCTGCTGCAGACCATGAAGCAGCTGCAGACCATGAAGCAGCTGCAGACCATGAAGCAGCTGCAGACCATGAAGCAGCTGCAGACCATGAAGCAGCTGCAGACCATGAAGCTGCTGCAGACCATGAAGCAGCTGCAGACCATGAAGCAGCTGCAGACCATGAAGCAGCTGCAGACCATGAAGCAGCTGCAGACCATGAAGCTGCTGCAGACCATGAAGCAGCTGCAGACCATGAAGCTGCTGCAGACCATGAAGCAGCTGCAGACCATGAAGCAGCTGCAGACCATGAAGCAGCTGCAGACCATGAAGCAGCTGCAGACCATGAAGCAGCTGCAGACCATGAAGCAGCTGCAGACCATGAAGCAGCTGCAGACCATGAAGCTGCTGCAGACCATGAAGCAGCTGCAGACCATGAAGCAGCTGCAGACCATGAAGCAGCTGCAGACCATGAAGCAGCTGCAGACCATGAAGCTGCTGCAGACCATGAAGCAGCTGCAGACCATGAAGCTGCTGCAGACCATGAAGCTGCTGCAGACCATGAAGCAGCTGCAGACCATGAAGCTGCTGCAGACCATGAAGCAGCTGCAGACCATGAAGCAGCTGCAGACCATGAAGCTGCTGCAGACCATGAAGCAGCTGCAGACCATGAAGCTGCTGCAGACCATGAAGCAGCTGCAGACCATGAAGCAGCTGCAGACCATGAAGCAGCTGCAGACCATGAAGCTGCTGCAGACCATGAAGCTGCTGCAGACCATGAAGCAGCTGCAGACCATGAAGCAGCTGCAGACCATGAAGCAGCTGCAGACCATGAAGCTGCTGCAGACCATGAAGCAGCTGCAGACCATGAAGCTGCTGCAGACCATGAAGCAGCTGCAGACCATGAAGCAGCTGCAGACCATGAAGCAGCTGCAGACCATGAAGCTGCTGCAGACCATGAAGCTGCTGCAGACCATGAAGCAGCTGCAGACCATGAAGCAGCTGCAGACCATGAAGCAGCTGCAGACCATGAAGCAGCTGCAGACCATGAAGCAGCTGCAGACCATGAAGCTGCTGCAGACCATGAAGCAGCTGCAGACCATGAAGCTGCTGCAGACCATGAAGCAGCTGCAGACCATGAAGCTGCTGCAGACTATGAAGCAGCTGCAGACCATGAAGCAGCTGCAGACCATGAAGCAGCTGCAGACCATGAAGCAGCTGCAGACCATGAAGCAGCTGCAGACCATGAAGCAGCTGCAGACCATGAAGCAGCTGCAGACCATGAAGCTGCTGCAGACCATGAAGCAGCTGCAGACCATGAAGCAGCTGCAGACCATGAAGCAGCTGCAGACCATGAAGCAGCTGCAGACCATGAAGCTGCTGCAGACCATGAAGCAGCTGCAGACCATGAAGCAGCTGCAGACCATGAAGCAGCTGCAGACCATGAAGCAGCTGCAGACCATGAAGCTGCTGCAGACCATGAAGCAGCTGCAGACCATGAAGCAGCTGCAGACCATGAAGCAGCTGCAGACCATGAAGCAGCTGCAGACCATGAAGCTGCTGCAGACCATGAAGCAGCTGCAGACCATGAAGCAGCTGCAGACCATGAAGCAGCTGCAGACCATGAAGCAGCTGCAGACCATGAAGCTGCTGCAGACCATGAAGCAGCTGCAGACCATGAAGCTGCTGCAGACCATGAAGCAGCTGCAGACCATGAAGCAGCTGCAGACCATGAAGCAGCTGCAGACCATGAAGCAGCTGCAGACCATGAAGCAGCTGCAGACCATGAAGCAGCTGCAGACCATGAAGCTGCTGCAGACCATGAAGCAGCTGCAGACCATGAAGCAGCTGCAGACCATGAAGCAGCTGCAGACCATGAAGCAGCTGCAGACCATGAAGCTGCTGCAGACCATGAAGCAGCTGCAGACCATGAAGCTGCTGCAGACCATGAAGCAGCTGCAGACCATGAAGCAGCTGCAGACCATGAAGCAGCTGCAGACCATGAAGCAGCTGCAGACCATGAAGCAGCTGCAGACCATGAAGCAGCTGCAGACCATGAAGCAGCTGCAGACCATGAAGCAGCTGCAGACCATGAAGCAGCTGCAGACCATGAAGCAGCTGCAGACCATGAAGCAGCTGCAGACCATGAAGCAGCTGCAGACCATGAAGCAGCTGCAGACCATGAAGCAGCTGGAGACCATGAAGCAGCTGCAGACCATGAAGCAGCTGCAGACCATGAAGCAGCTGCAGACCATGAAGCAGCTGCAGACCATGAAGCTGCTGCAGACCATGAAGCTGCTGCAGACCATGAAGCAGCTGCAGACCATGAAGCAGCTGCAGACCATGAAGCAGCTGCAGACCATGAAGCTGCTGCAGACCATGAAGCAGCTGCGAGACCGAGGCACATTTCCTCCAGGACATAAAAAACTAATCCTGAATCTTGACAATAATATAAATAATTGATATAATATTAACCCTTTAATCCTTGAAGAAAGCAATGATAGAGATGCTCCAGTTTCAAGCTTCAGTTACACACAGTGGGTCAAAAAGTGATCCACCAGGTGTGTGTGTGTGTGTGTGTCTGTGTGTGTGTGTGTGTGTCTGTGTGTGTGCGTGTGTGTGTGTCTGTGTGTGTGTGTGTCTGTGTGTGTGTGTGCGTGTGTCTGTGTGTGTGTGTGTCTGTGTGTGTGTGTGTGTGTGTCTGTGTGTGTGTGTGTCTGTCTGTGTGTGTGTGTGTGTGTGTGTGTGTCTGTGTGTGTGTGTGCGTGTGTCTGTGTGTGTGTGTGTCTGTGTGTGTGTGTGTGTGTGTCTGTGTGTGTGTGTGTCTGTCTGTGTGTGTGTCTGCTCTGGCTCCAGTTTGCTTTGGCTCGTCGGCCGCTGCTTATCAGTCTTATTCAGTCACGACGGTACCGGTCCAAAACAAACACGGCACGATCACATTTTCTGGTGAAGGCTTCGCACAAACCATTATGTATTTTCCTGCCTAGGGACTACGGATGAAAACTAGCTTTGTAGCTATAATCCGGCATATTTACATTTGTTTTATACTGATGTTCATTAATGTGCATTGTCCCTATCAAATAAATAAAATTGTTTCTCTGATGGTAAAGATACAACTGTCTGAGTCGTTAATTAGCATAATAAAGCTGTATGTTTATTATTATTATTATTATTTTCAGTATAATTCACACATTATTATCAAATATCACTAAATACCATTTTTTAACATATTATAATAATGTACTAAACAAAAACAAGATGCAGACATTTTTATGATTATTTTTTAGCATTTTTTTGTATCTTTTGGTGTTTTTGTTTGATGTGTTTTCTTTCATGTGTTCTCTCAGTCTTTTAGCGTGTTGTATGTTGAATGTGTTGCCTCTTGTCCAGGACACTCAATAATAATAATAATAATAACGGGGATAATCTTAATGAGGTTCTCCTGGTTAAATAACGGTTAAATACAAATAAAGTAAAATAACATCTGGGATTTTATTTTAAATTCCAAAGAATTTTAAATGAGCTTGGACATATACAACAAGCTAAAAACCCTGAAAAAGCAGGTTTGAATATTTTTTTGCCTTTGCGTCTTAGTCTCAAAATGAAATATTCGCCTTAAAAATAATCAATGTTTATTTTCCGAGCCTCAAATTCAATGCACTGTGAAATCATGAAATCATTTGTTCCCTAAGATTTAGAATTTGGAATTTTTTAACATCTTGGATATTTTTGTCGGTCAATGTCAGTCACTGATTATCAATTTCAAAATATATTTTTTTATGCATATAGTTTCAAGTGTTTAAATTCAACAAGAAAGAATACTCCTTTCACGCCCTGAGATCATATATTGTAATTTACGGGACTATTGAAGCCTGCGCAGGACAATATGTGGTCTTTGACAGTGGTCCCCAACTCCCGCTCAAACTGCTTTTTGTCCCTTATCAGCCTCTGTATTCCAAGATGGCGGATTCACACAGAGAGTCCTCAGCCTCACGGACATTTATGAGTCACATTCTGAGTCTGTGACAACAATTCAAGAACATGGTGGAGGTAAATAATCTTAAAAAGGTCACATTTGCTCTGAAGGCATCACTACAAAGTCAGCGATCAGAGGATGTTTGGGCTGAGCCAAGGTGTGAGGTGTGTAACTGTTATTTCTGTAAGTACCATTAGCTCTCAAACATGACCGAAAACACTCAAAACCTTCGGTCTATAACATTTTGAAAGAGAAACCTTCAGCAAAAATCAATGGGAAGTGTAAAATGGAAAGCGAATGGTGTGGTGAGGACTGGGGCAGTGCACTTAGACCAAGGGCAACAGTGAGAACGGGCATCTGTCAGCAGCCATCTGGGGGCGCCGCGGGTCTCAGCGGAGCCCTAAACGTGTGGACCACAACGCTAACTGTGCTAATAACGGCTAACGAGGCTAATATCCGAAGAGTCCAGTCGACGGTATGGATCTATTTAAAACCAGAATAGACAAAACTGATGAAGCTTAAACGCAAATTCAGACTGGAAGACTAAACAGACGTCACACCTGCCACACTGACTCCTCTTCGTCTACAATGACTCCTCCCTCTACACTGGCTCCTCCCTCTACACTGACGCCTCCCTCTACACTGACTCCTCCCTCTACACTGGCTCCTCCCTCTTCACTGACGCCTCCCTCTACACTGACTCCTCCCTCTACGCTGACTCCTCCCACTGCACTGACTCCTCCCTCTACACTGACTCCTCCCTCTACACTGGCTCCTCCCTCTACACTGACGCCTCCCTCTACACTGACTCCTCCCTCTACGCTGACTCCTCCCTCTACACTGACTCCTCCCACTGCACTGACTCCTCCCTCTACACTGACTGGAAAAGAGCAGTTTATTATTATGACAGATTAGGGCCCTTTAATGATGACAGATTAGGGCCCTTTAGTGATGACAGATGAGTGCCCTTTAATGATGACAGATTAGGGCCCTTTAATGATGATGGATTAGGGCCCTTTAATGATGACAGATTAGGGCCCTTTAATAATGACAGATTAGAGCCCTTTAATGATGACAGATTAGGGCCCTTTAATGATGACAGATTAGGGCCCTTTAATGATGACAGATTAGGGCCCTTTAATGATGACAGATTAGGGCCATTTAATGATGACAGATTAGGGCCCTTTAATGATGACAGATTAGGGCCCTTTAATGATGACAGATTAGGGCCCTTTAATGATGACAGATTAGGGCCCTTTAATGATGACAGATTATGGCTCTTTAATGATGACAGATTAGGGCCCTTTAATGATGACAAATTAGGGCCCTTTAATGATGATAGATTAGAGCCCTTTAATGATGACAGATTAGGGCCCTTTAATGATGACAGATTAGGGCCCTTTAATGATGACAGATTAGGGCCCTTTAATGATGACAGATTAGGGCCCTTTAATGATGACTGGACATGAAAATAAAGTCGGTCTCATGAAGTGATGTGTTATATTTAGCAGGTGCAGGTCAGCTCCTCTTGTCCCAGTGCAGGGGCTAAAAACATGTTTACGTTAGGAGACTCGTTCGGACTCGCTCGGACTCGCTCGGACTTGTTCGGACTCGCTCGGACTCGCTCGGACTCGTTCGGACTCGCTCGGACTCGCTCGGACTCGCTCGGACTCGCTCGGACTCGTTCGGACTCGTTCGGACTCGCTCGGACTCGCTCTGACAGTCGTCTCACTCAGCACCGATAGAACGAGTGCCGCTGACAAAACTTGTCACAAACAGGACCTTATCTGGCGCCCGCACTTTGTCCATCGCTAACAACGAGCTACGGCCACTTGAGCTAAACATGAACAGACACTGAGCGACTACACTGGAAACAAATCCCTTGAAAACAGGTAAAATACTGCTTAAAATGATAAAAATTATCTGTCAATAGATTTCTGAAAATAAGAACATTTACAATTATCACTTTTGCAGTAACTTGGGAATACTATGGAATGCTAAAGTAAGACTATGGCATGTTATACTTAATGTTAAGCTTAATTTCTCAGGGAGGCAACCATTTATTTGTTCAGTTTGTTCTAACATGTGATTAAAAGAATTATGTGAATTATTTTTTATTTTTTTTAAACTGTGGCCCAGTTGTGGTTGAATCCAAACCCACAAAAAGTAGATAATAATAATCAAACTCACAAAAATATGTAAAAAAAAGATAATAATAATAATTTGGCCCCAAACAGCTCTTATGTTTAACTTATTGACTGCAGCCGTTTTTGATGATTTAACGGATTTTCAAGACCCACAGAATAATATGTGCGATGCCGACGTGAAATATGAAACCAGATTCTGAAAGACTGAATTGTCTTCTTTCAGCAGAAAAAATATGATGGTTTTTAGCTATTTTTGTTCTTCTGTAATCTCCAGTCGAAAAGAGAGAAGTTTGACAGAAATCCCCATCAGTCAAATACGTCACTGGCAGTCTATGAGTTAAAATGGCGGCCGACCAAAATGAGTTGGACACCGCTGCGTTAGCCTCTGTTTTAGCTAAAGATAAGCGCTCGGCGGCGAATGGGACGGATCCCTGGAGAGCGTGTGTTTTCTGGGAGCGGTGATAGCATCCGTGGGTGGGGGCCGCGAGCACATGAGTAATGACGGGATGAGTAAGATGCATTCAGGGGCCGTCAGACGTGTCGTTCATCTGGACTTCACTATAAATGTGTTTTATGTGGAGTGCGCTTCCTGGACGTACGACTGAGGCCCACGCAAACAGCACTAAGTAGGGCAGAAGGATCGCAAATGTCTGAGGTCTCAATCATTTCTTGTTTTGTAAGATGTCTGTTAGTGAATGCAGAGTGCTCATGTGGAAATACGGAATATTTTTGGTAATTTTAATAAAACTAAGTGCAATTTTCTGTGTGTTTCCTTCTTACTTTTGTCCATAGTAAAACACTGATTTGTTAGATTTGTGTAATAAGTATTAAAAAAGAGAGAGGGTTAACTTTCCTTAATTTATTCCATACTTTGTAAAGAATATTTATGGAAAAGTCAGCTTCGAAAATCCAAATTAAATCATTTCATCATTTTTGTTATTGTCATTTTTATATATTTGAAATGCATAGAAACACAGTATGTAGAAAAGACACTTTCTCACTCTCACACACACACACACAAAACACACACTCACATTCTCACACACACACACAGAGGAAGCACACACTCCCACACACACCAACACACACACAGACAGACACACACTTATACTCACGCACACACATGCTCTCACTCTCACACTCACACACGCACACACATACATGTTCTCACTCTAATACACACACGGACAGACACACAGCCATGCTCATACTCACTCACACACACACCAACACAAAGACACACTTTTTCTTTCACTCTCTCTCTCTCACACACACACACACACACACACTTACACACACACACACACACTAAAAACCCTTCTCTACAGATAAGGCAAAAATCATGTCCAAATCAACAAATACAATACATATCCTGTCCCTGTGATCCAAATACTATCACATGACCCAGCGTGATCACATGACCCAGTGTGATCACATGACCCAGTGTGATCACATGACCCAGCGTGATCACATGACCCAGCGTGATCACATGACCCAGTGTGATCACATGACCCAGCGTGATCACATGACCCAGCGTGATCACATGACCCAGCGTGATCACATGACCCAGTGTGATCACATGACCCAGCGTGATCACATGACCCAGCGTGATCACATGACCCAGCGTGATCACATGACTCAGTGTGATCACATGACCCAGTGTGATCACATGACCCAGTGTGATCACATGACCCAGCGTGATCACATGACCCAGCATGATCACATGACCCAGCGTGATCACATGACCCAGCGTGATCACATGACCCAGCGTGATCACATGACCCAGTGTGATCACATGACCCAGCGTGATCACATGACCCAGTGTGATCACATGACCCAGTGTGATCACATGACCCAGCGTGATCACATGACCCAGCGTGATCACATGACCCAGCGTGATCACATGACCCAGGAGTGTGTGATCACATGACCCAGCGTGATCACATGACCCAGCGTGATCACATGACCCAGCGTGATCACATGACCCAGGAGTGTGTGATCACATGACCCAGCGTGATCACATGACCCAGTGTGATCACATGACCCAGCGTGATCACATGACCCAGCGTGATCACATGACCCAGCGTGATCACATGACCCAGTGTGATCACATGACCCAGCGTGATCACATGACCCAGTGTGATCACATGACCCAGTGTGATCACATGACCCAGTGTGATCACATGACCCAGCGTGATCACATGACCCAGCGTGATCACATGACCCAGCGTGATCACATGACCCAGGAGTGTGTGATCACATGACCCAGCGTGATCACATGACCCAGCGTGATCACATGACCCAGGAGTGTGTGATCACATGACCCAGCATGATCACATGACCCAGTGTGATCACATGACCCAGCGTGATCACATGACCCAGCATGATCACATGACCCAGCGTGATCACATGACCCAGCATGATCACATGACCCAGTGTGATCACATGACCCAGTGTGATCACATGACCCAGCATGATCACATGACCCAGCGTGATCACATGACCCAGTGTGATCACATGACCCAGTGTGATCACATGACCCAGCGTGATCACATGACCCAGTGTGATCACATGACCCAGCGTGATCACATGACCCAGTGTGATCACATGACCCAGTGTGATCACATGATCCAGTGTGATCACATGACCCAGCGTGATCACATGACCCAGCGTGATCACATGACCCAGCGTGATCACATGACCCAGGAGTGTGTGATCACATGACCCAGCGTGATCACATGACCCAGCGTGATCACATGACCCAGGAGTGTGTGATCACATGACCCAGCGTGATCACATGACCCAGTGTGATCACATGACCCAGCGTGATCACATGACCCAGCGTGATCACATGACCCAGCGTGATCACATGACCCAGTGTGATCACATGACCCAGCGTGATCACATGACCCAGTGTGATCACATGACCCAGTGTGATCACATGACCCAGTGTGATCACATGACCCAGCGTGATCACATGACCCAGCGTGATCACATGACCCAGCGTGATCACATGACCCAGGAGTGTGTGATCACATGACCCAGCGTGATCACATGACCCAGCGTGATCACATGACCCAGGAGTGTGTGATCACATGACCCAGCATGATCACATGACCCAGTGTGATCACATGACCCAGCGTGATCACATGACCCAGCATGATCACATGACCCAGCGTGATCACATGACCCAGCATGATCACATGACCCAGTGTGATCACATGACCCAGTGTGATCACATGACCCAGCATGATCACATGACCCAGCGTGATCACATGACCCAGTGTGATCACATGACCCAGTGTGATCACATGACCCAGCGTGATCACATGACCCAGTGTGATCACATGACCCAGCGTGATCACATGACCCAGTGTGATCACATGACCCAGTGTGATCACATGATCCAGTGTGATCACATGACCCAGCGTGATCACATGACCCAGCGTGATCACATGACCCAGGAGTGTGTGATCACATGACCCAGCGTGATCACATGACCCAGGAGTGTGTGATCACATGACCCAGCGTGATCACATGACCCAGTGTGATCACATGACCCAGCGTGATCACATGACCCAGCATGATCACATGACCCAGCGTGATCACATGACCCAGCATGATCACATGACCCAGCGTGATCACATGACCCAGTGTGATCACATGACCCAGCGTGATCACATGACCCAGCGTGATCACATGACCCAGCGTGATCACATGACCCAGTGTGATCACATGACTCAGTGTGATCACATGACCCAGCGTGATCACATGACCCAGCGTGATCACATGACCCAGCGTGATCACATGACCCAGCGTGATCACATGACCCAGCGTGATCACATGACCCAGCGTGATCACATGACCCAGCGTGATCACATGACCCAGCGTGATCACATGACTCAGTGTGATCACATGACCCAGTGTGATCACATGACCCAGTGTGATCACATGACCCAGCGTGATCACATGACCCAGCGTGATCACATGACCCAGCGTGATCACATGACTCAGTGTGATCACATGACCCAGTGTGATCACATGACCCAGTGTGATCACATGAGCCAGCGTGATCACATGACCCAGCGTGATCACATGACTCAGTGTGATCACATGACTCAGCGTGATCACATGACCCAGCGTGATCACATGACCCAGCGTGATCACATGACCCAGCGTGATCACATGACCCAGCGTGATCACATGACCCAGCGTGATCACATGACCCAGCGTGATCACATGACCCAGTGTGATCACATGACCCAGCGTGATCACATGACCCAGCGTGATCACATGACTCAGTGTGATCACATGACCCAGTGTGATCACATGACCCAGTGTGATCACATGAGCCAGCGTGATCACATGACCCAGCGTGATCACATGACTCAGTGTGATCACATGACCAAGTGTGATCACATGACCCAGTGTGATCACATGACCCAGCGTGATCACATGACCCAGCGTGATCACATAACTCAGTGTGATCACATGACCCAGTGTGATCACATGACCCAGTGTGATCACATGAGCCAGCGTGATCACATGACCCAGCGTGATCACATGACCCAGTGTGATCACATGACCCAGCGTGATCACATGACCCAGCGTGATCACATGACTCAGTTTGATCACATGACCCAGTGTGATCACATGACCCAGCGTGATCACATGACCCAGCGTGATCACATGACTCAGTTTGATCACATGACCCAGTGTGATCACATGACTCAGTTTGATCACATGACCCAGTGTGATCACATGTTCTCCGGTTCAATAGTGATTTATTTTCTCGGTGAATCATGCGTCGCTGACAGATGACATCACATTTTCCTCTCTTCCCGTTTCCTCCTTTCTTTTTATCGGGCCTTATCTCCGCCCTTCTCCTAAGCCAACCCGATGGCCTAAATTGGATTGACTTTTAATTAGGTGCACTCCCAGGGTAAAAGGACTATAATTGGCTGTGTTATCTGTATGTGGCTTTAGAAGGGGGGGAGTGGGGGGAGTGGGGGGTGGCGGGGACGAGGCCCTGCAGCCTTTGAACAAAAAACCCGAGGCCTGAATGTAGCTGCAATAAGCTTATCTGACGGCAACAGGACGCAGCAGCATTATCATTGAAATGAGAGGGAATCGAACCCTCAACCTCCTTGTTCAGCACAGAATGCATCAGATTAACTGCAGCCTGGAAATCCATGGGGACAGGAGCGAAAGTGTTATGGACAAAATGATTGTTTACAGAAAAAAACACAGTCTATCTCACACACACAGACGCACACAGACACACAGACGCACACAGACACACAGACGCACACACACACAGATGCACACACACACACACACACGCACACACACACAGACGCACCCACACACACACACACACACACACACACACAGACGCACACACACAGACACACACACACGCACACACGCACACACACACACACACACACACACACACACACAGACGCACACACACACAGATGCACACACACACACACACACACACAGACGCACACACACAGACGCACACACACACACACAGACGCACACACACAGACGCACACACACACACACAGACGCACACAGACAGACACACACAGACGCACACACACACACATCTGTAATGTGTGAGAAATAAAAAGTGTGTGGTGTAATTAAAACGATTATTAATTAAGACAAAATACAATAAAGCAAAGAAGGAGATGTTTTTGTAGCTTCTTTATCAGTTTTAAAATCAGAGAAAACGGAATAAAAAAAAGCTTCGTGGCTGATTCTGGTTCATTACAGTAATGTTTATTAAAGTAATTAATTAACTGTTCCTGACAAATAACAAATCAATAAAATAAATAAATGGACGGATGGGTAAATAAAATATATTATCATTGTTACTATTATTATTATTCAAAATGTACTTTTTGCATGTGTGTAAGAGAGAGTGTGTGTGTGTGTTTGCATGTAATTGTGTGTGTTTGTGTGTGTTAAATGATGCTGTATTCTTTATAGAATAGTCTTATTAAAGGTACAGTATATATTTAAAAAGACCATAATTAATTAAAATGCGAAGGCTTCATTTGCAATACGTGTGTGCGTCTGTGTGTGTCTCTCTGTGTGTGTCTCTGTGTGTCTCTGTCTGTGTGTGTCTGTGTGTGTGTGTGTCTGTGTGTGTGTGTGTCTGTGTGTGTGTGTCTGTATGTGTGTGTCTGTGTGTGTGTGTCTCTGTGTGTGTGTGTGTGTCTCTGTGTGTGTCTGTGTGTGTGTCTCTGTGTGTGTCTGTGTGTGTGTCTGTGTGTGTGTGTGTCTCTATGTGTGTCTCTGTGTGTGTGTGTGTGTCTCTGTGTGTGTCTCTGTGTGTGTCTCTGTGTGTGTGGTTGTTCTCTCTGAACCATTAAAGGCGTCCTGGTCGACTGCTCCTTTGTGTTTTGCAGCAGCAGAGATTAGAGCCATTAACATGAAGAGTAAACGTCATTATTATACGTCATTATAGTCGTTTCCAGGGGACAGGTTTTACAGCGACACAGATTATTCATTTTGAGTTTTGCCAAAATTTACAGCAAAAAAAAAATTCAACACGGGGAAAATAAAGCTTGTTTTGTCTCGGAATCAGGAGTTTTCATCTAAAATCCCGGGGCAGCTTCAGGAGGCAGAGGGGGGTGTGGGCGGGGCAGAGGGGGGTGTGGGCGGGGCCATATACCTGCAGTCTGCGCACAGCAAATGGAGAGGTAATGGACCATGCAAACATTCAGCTCCCACAATGCACCTGGGGCGGTGTGTCCATCCCTCGTTCTTTTCATGACAAGGACCAAAAGAGAAACATAAATCACGGATGAACTTCCAACACAAACAAGAACAAAAGCAAAGGGAAAAAACTAGATATTTTCAGCGTATACGTAGCAAAAAATATTAAAATATGAGGTAATAAATGCTGGAATTAAGTGTTTTTTATCCTAATTTAAGCACATTCTGACTGTGTTAAAACAACATTCCAAGAGAGAAATTTATTGTAACTTTTAAAAACAAGATAATTTAGTTTTAGCCCCATCCCAATATTGTTTTAAGGCAGAATGTGCTCAAATGAAGACACATTTTGCCAAATTTGAGCAATTTTTCACTTTTTGGAGCGTGGTCTTCAAAATAAAATGGGAAGCTTGTTTTTCTTAGTCTGATATTTTGGTTGAATGAATTGAAAGTGGGTGAAAAGACCTAAAAGTCACTGTTTTTATGCCAGGGTGGAGATTATGTGTGAATATTTTTTGTAAAAATCAAGGCACAAAAACACCCTCGGGTCTTTTCACCGTGAGTGTGTTTGGATTAAAATAAAACAGTCAAAATCGGTTAAAAATAAATATCTAATGTTAATTCCCAGCAAGTGTAGAGACTGAAGCAAACTCCGTCAAAAGGTTATATTTATAAAGAGATTACAATGTATTAAAAAGGACATAATTCATACATATATTATCATACTTTCATATTTTGTCTGAATCAATTGGAATTTTTTTATTTCATTTTTCCATCCCCTTAAATAATCAATTTCTGCGTTTTATTTTTAAATTAGATTAAAACTGTTAATTATGTAAAAATCAAGGCCCAAAAAAACCCTCGGTCTTTCCACCGTGAGTGGATTAAAATAAAACAGTTAAAACCCGTTAAAAACAAATCTCTGATGTTGATTCCGAACAGTCTAAGGAAGCTCCAACCTCCGGCGAGATGATCATAAACAGTTTCCAGAATACAGCGTTAGCCGGTTTGATTGAATGTCTGCAGTGCTGTGATACATGGGGGGTTGCTTCAATCTGGGTGGGGGCCTGTCTTTTCAATGTGCCTCTAAACATTTAAATACAGAAGGTTGTTATCAGTGCGGAGGCAGGACTGAGCGGACAGTGTGTGAAGGAGCACGTCTCTGGCCTCGTAATGACAGAGGAGTGAGAGCCATTACGTCTCTGATGGAAGCTTAAGCACAAATCCATTCCACTGTCGCCTTCTCTGTGTTGACAATCTCTTAATACAAGGTGCACCATTGCCGGACTTTACACACCGACGTTTATCATTTTCGCCGCAGCCCATCGCCCGTAATCACCTACAAAAAAAAAGTTAATTTCTCGCATCATCTAAGACGCAAAATACCCCGTGTAGTAAAACCTTTGTCGTGCTAATTGCCGTGTCAATTTGTCGCACTATCGCTGACAACATGGGCACCGCCGCATGAGGCAAAAAGAAAATGGCTGCTCTTTGGCAAAAAAAAAAAAGAAAAAGAGAGAGAAAATGTCGCCGCAATATGCTTTGGCTCTGGTCGCTCCAATTTTTTTTTTTTGCGCCTGTCCTGACGGCGAAGCTTTACAACGTTAAGGCTAATTCACCGCGGCGTCAAAAGACAGTGATAAGGTCTAAAAAAAAGGCGGGGAATGTCGTCGGGAATGCCACACCCAACGGCGATGCTAAAATGGCAGCCACCAGAGAAGATCCAGAGCAAACGCCAGACCAGGTGATTATGAACGAGATGATGAAGCGAGAGGGTTCGACGCTATCTCGGATGTGCGTGAACAACAACAAAAGCAATATTTCTTCCGTGGGCAAAGTGAAAAAAACGGCGATTATTCCAACCTTGGAGGAGTTTATATCAGCTGAGTCTATTGACAGTGAAGGGGCTGGGGCTCAAGCTGCTCCCATCCCAATCTCGTTCCACATGATTATTCTCAATTTCACACTTGATGGTTTTGTGCCGGAGCAGACGCAGACGCCAAATGCCAAAAAACGTAAAGAATTCAGGAAAGAAAGGGCGAGGAGGAGGTGAAGGAGAAAGTTCACAACAAGGAGGTCACAGAGGTCTTGGGTAGAATGGACACTAGAAGTCGGTAATCTACAGACGCTGGGATTAAGTTAATCTGAGAGATCACAGACACAACACTGCAGTCTCATGAATGTGTGACCTTCTAACCTCTTGCACAATCCGTCAAAAGGCTGTATTTATGGACAGATTACAACGTATTTAAAAAGGACATAATTCATGCATATATTAATCTACTTTCATATTTTGTCTGGATTAATTGGGATTTTTTTTAATTCATTTTTTCATGCAATTCTTCCATCCCCTTTAATATTCTATTTCGGGGTTTATTTTTTTCATTTAGATATTTTTATTTTATTTTATTTTCATGTTATTTACTAAGAATAAATTCCTAACATTAATAATAACAGTATTTTTTCCATATTTTTTTTTCACACAGGGATTAATTAAATATCTGTGTCAAACAGCCATTTTGAACAGTACACACTAAAATATACAGTAAATAAATACACTGTATCTTACCTCATTATTATATTTCTGTTCATAAAATCACCTCTTATCCATATTTTTTTTAATTAATCATTGACAAAGCCCCAGTTTTTTCTTGTAAACACCGCTGTACGACTAGTATGCGGCGAGTCCTACACCGGGCTGCACGGCTGGAGGTCATTTAACGCCATCCTCTCACACTTGTGCTACCAGCGTCACCAACAAACCTTCATTATCGTCGCAATTCAACCCAAACTGGTGATAATACGTACAATTACAGCAATTATTATGTTGTTTTTGAATCTCATTTTCTCTGTTATTACCTCGCGAGAGCAATGCCGCAGCTGTCAACACACTACCACACACTTAGCACTAAAAATATGTATTTAAACTATATAACCAGGTGTGTTTTTGCTTAAATATCCACGAGAAAGAGAGAGACGATGATGAAAATGACTGCACGGCTCAGGACCTATTGTTCACCAGCGAAAAGAGTGTGTGGAGGCAGGGGCCGGTACCTGGTTTTGTCGTTGTGTGTGTGTGTTTTTTTTTGTAGGGTGGGACGTAGATGAGGAGGTGAAGATGAGGAGGTGCAGGACGGCGAGGACGGTGATGAAGATGATGATGGTGATGATGAGGTTTAAGTGGCGAGGGCCTCTACTTGGCTTGATTTGAGCGGCAGCTGAGTACGCCATGGCAACACTTTCAGAAATGACAGTGAACAACAGAATGGATTAAATCAGTTTAAGGATGGAGCAAAATCAACCTAAATATGGTCAGATGTTGTTGTTGAAATAAATGAAAAATACAAAAAACTCACTCAAGGATATAGAAAATTGTATTGTATATAAATGTATTGTAAATGTATTGTGCTTATAGTGTGTAAAAATGTGAGCTCATAAATCCAAAAAATGATAAATTTAATACGCTGTAATTAAACTATTCTTCACACAATGAGCCACCTTCACATTTTCACTCAACCTTGAGTTTAAAGAACCATGTCACGATAGAACCTGCTATATCCACCCAGTTGTAAATCTCTTAAGACCACATTTAGGCCACATAATCTCTGACTGCAAATAAACAAGCTCATAGACACGGACACGGGATCGAACCAATGACCTGACGCCAATAAATACTGTTCAATTGTGTTCGAGCAGGTCCTGGAGAAAAGCGAAGGAATTAGCGTCTGAGCGTTTGTGCAAAAAGTTGGATCAGAAAAGCCATGAATGTCACGCTGTAGATGACGCAGTGAGGAGGAACATGAACGTTAATGATGTTAAAGTGAGAGCGGTGTTTGTGAACGCGCTGCTTTTTTACACAAACATTTTACAAAACATAAAGAAAGAATTGCACAGAGACGTCTTTTCAAGTTTAAAACACGCACAGATGGAGCACGTGAGGTTAAAGACCGGAAACGGCGTCGAAAAACATGTTTGAAAGCACTTTTCTCACCTGGATCAGGCGCCTGTCCTTCTCCGTCCATCTTCACAGGAGCGCACGAGCTCAGCTGCAGTCAGCGCCGCGTGCGACTCCACTGAGGTGCGCGCGCCGCCTGCGCAGTAGACACGCGACCAGCACATGAGGAAGAGGAGGGGGAGGGGGTGAGGAGGGGGAGGAGGGTGAAGAGGGGTTGAAGAGGCGAAGGTTAAAGAGCTGTTAAAACACACATGTAAACATTTAAACAAACCAGAGAAACATCCTCGGCTTCTCAGTGACGCGAGAGGGAGGGGGGAGGGGGGAGAGGGGAGAGAGGAGAGAGAGGGGAGAGAGGGGAGAGAGGGGAGGGAGAGGGGAGGGAGGAGTGAGAGAGGAGGGAGAGGAGAAGAGAGAGAGGAGGGAGAGAAGGAGGGAGAGGAGAGAGTGGGGAGAGAGGGGAGAGAGGGGAGGGAGAGGGGGGGGAGAGGAGGGAAAGGGGAGAGAGGGGGAGAAAGGGGAGAGAGAGGGGGAGAAAGGGGAGGGAGAGGGGAGGGAGGAGTGAGAGAGGAGGGAGAGGAGAAGAGAGAGAGGAGGGAGAGAGGAGGGAGAGGAGAGAGTGGGGAGAGAGGGGAGAGAGGGGGGGAGAGAGGAGGGAAAGGGGAGAGAGGGGGAGAAAGGGGAGAGAGAGGGGGAGAAAGGGGAGAGAGAGGGGGGAGAAAGGGGAGTGAAAGGGGTGAGAGAGGGGGAGAAAGGGGAGTGAAAGGGGTGAGAGAGGGGGAGAAAGGGGAGTGAAAGGGGGAGAAAGGGGAGAGAGAGGGGGAGAAAGGGGAGAGAGAGGGGGAGAAAGGGGAAAGAGAGGGGGAGAAAGGGGAGAGAGAGGTGGAGAAAGGGGGGAGAAAGGGGAGAGAGAGGTGGAGAAAGGGGAGGGAAAGGGGAGAGAGGGGTGAGAAAGAGAGAGGAGGGAGGGGTCTACGCGGGGGGCATCTGTCAGAGCCGCGGTTCCAGGCCCCGCAGCGACCCACGGTTTAATGAGTCCAAACGGTCCCTCGGGTCCAAACTCCCTGAAGTCAAACGTGTGAAATATGTAAACAAGTCCTCAGAGCACTCAGATATGTATTGGTTTGTACAGACAGAAGGTCCTGGGTTCGATTCCACCTCCAGGCCTCTCTGTGTGGAGTTTGCATGTTCTCTCCGTGTCAAAGACATGTCTGAATGTAATGACAGAGAATGGATGACCTTGGTCTGAGAAAATGGCGAAAAAAATAAGAATCAGTTACTTTTCATACCTTACATTTATAATAATTAATTTCAACTTTAAAACATTTGCGACACTATGACCACAAATATATGTTAAAATAAAATATATTTTATTCACTGTGTAAGGGAGAAGTGTAGAACATGATTTTCAGAATTCTGTATTTTCGGCGAATTTACTGAATTGTAAGAATTATTGAAGACGTCAGTTTGATTGATGGGTGTTTTTTTTTACGTTTAACACTACATTATTATGCAAATAAGCGTGAGAGTATTTAGAGTATTTGGAATAGACCCAGGAGTGAGGCTGTAGACCCAGGACTGAGGCTGTAGACCCAGGACTGAGGCTGTAGACCAGGACTGAGGCTGTAGACCCAGGACTGAGGCTGTATACCCAGGACTGAGGCTGTAGACCCAGGACTGAGGCTGTAGACCAGGACTGAGGCTGTAGACCCAGGACTGAGGCTGTAGACCCAGGACTGAGGCTGTAGACCCAGGACTGAGGCTGTAGACCCAGGACTGAGGTCGGACTGAGTCTGTAGATCCAGGACTGAGGCTGTAGACCCAGGACTGAGGCTGTAGACCCAGGACTGAGGCTGTGGGACTCAAACACCGTGAGAAAATGTTTTGGTGAAAAAGAACATCCTGTAAATACTCTGCTAATGTGCTTGCTCTTCCAGGACCAGGTCAGTCCGAGTTAGTCCGGGTCAGTCCAAGTCAGTTCAAGTCAGCCCAGGTCAGTTTGGGTCAGTCCGGGTCAGTCCAAGTCAGTCCAGGTCAGTCTGAGTCCGTCCGAGTCAGTCTGAGTCCGTCCGAGTCAATCCGAGTCAGTCCAGGTCAGTCCGAGTCAGTCCGAGTCAGTCCGTCAGTCTGAGTCAGTCCGGGTCAGTGCAGGTCAGTCTGGGTCAGTCCAGGTTAGTCCAGGTCAGTCCGAGTCAGTCTGAGTCAGTCCGAGTCAGTCTGAATCAGTCCGGGTCAGTGCAGGTCAGTCTGGGTCAGTCCAGGTTAGTCCAGGTCAGTCCAGTTCAGTCCGAGTCAGTCCGGGTCAGTCCAAGTCAGTCCAGGTCAGTCCAAGTCAGTCCAGAACAGTCCGAGTCAGCTCGAGTCAGTCCAGGTCAGTCCAGGTCAGTCCGGGTAGTTTCCATGATGTCCGTAGAAACTGCTGAGTGGGACAGCGCGGGTTGCCATGTTGCGTGTGTATTTTCAGCACATTATCATTTTTGCTCAATGAAAGAAAGACCTCTACAGAACGACCTCAGCAGCTGTTTACGGTCCTGCTTCCGAACCGTGCTATGCTAATGAGTACACACGGCTAATACGGCTAACACCACCGCTACTTGGAGAAGATAAATGGGTTTTGGGGGTCAGAGGAAAATGTTGTTTGGCCCTGACAGGTCAACCCTACGGCTGTGTGTGTGTGTGTGTGTGTGTGTGAGCCGTGGGCCGTCCGTCTACAGACCGGGCTCACTTTAGAAGCCCTCATTAACATTGTTGGTCTATGTTCAAAGTTCTCAGCAGAGCAGTGTCACCCGTCGCACAGTTGTGTGTTGGTGTGTGTGCGTCCGGGGTCAGCTGTCATTCCCGTGATGATGGATGTGGGTTGGAAACATACTTGGAGTTTAAGCTATGTCCTTTGGCAACCTGCACGACCCCAACCGCCCTAAAAATAAAGGCGCACATTTGCTTTCTAAACAGACAATGGTGTAAGATGTCACAGTTCATGATTGTGCGTCGCAGAGTAAACAAACAGTCAATATTCAGTCTTGTTTCCAGCAGCTGCGTTTGGAAATCAACAGTCCAGGATTTGGTCTAGAACAGAATGGGTTTGATGGAAAGATAGAATGAGGAGCTGCTGAACCGTTTACTTAAAGGAGCAGTGTGTAAACATGTGGCCAAAAGTGGTACTGCAGCCTCTCCCACTCTCCCTGACTCAGGTTGCCAGATATGCAGACGAATCCAGCTGGGACCATAACAGCTGAATAGACAAGAGTTTTGTCAACAACAAATCTATAACCAACACCTTTTTCACAAAGATAGAAATCCTGGTTTTATTCTTTGTTTTGTCGTTAATGATTTGAGAATCATAACGAGACCTTTTTTAGTTCTGCGCCACATGGTACTTTACCAGTGAGATTAGCTCCACACGGTGAGTTCTGGCGCCCGGATTACAGGCTTTCTGATTGGTGAAACGGTGGAGGGCGGGACATCGAAATGAAAACAATAACAAGATTTAGAGGCGGGAAAAGTAATTTAGAAATTCAAATATCTCTGAACTACTTTTATCAGTTAAAGAAGTACTGGAAAAGAGCAGTTTATTATTATGACAGATTAGGGCCCTTTAATGATGACAGATTAGGGCCCTTTAATGATGACAGATTAGGGCCCTTTAATTATGACGGATTAGGGCCCTTTAATGATGCCAGATTAGGGCCCTTTAATGATGACAGATTAGGGCCCTTTAATTATGACGGATTAGGGCCCTTTAATGATGCCAGATTAGGGCCCTTTAATGATGACAGATTAGCCCTTTAATGATGACAGATTAGGGCCCTTTAATGATGACAAATTAGTGCCCTTTAATGATGACTGTGTCATTTTTACGGTTGCTCCAAATAAAAAACGTTTTAATCAAAAACAAATGTGACCTTTTTAAGATTATTTACCTCCATCATGTTTCTGAATTGTTGTCACAGACTCAGAATGTGACTTTTAAATGTCCGTGAGGCTGAGGACTGTCTGTGTGAATCCGCCATCTTGGAATACAGAGGCTGATAAGGGACAAAAAGCAGTTTGAGCGGGAGTTGGGGACCACAGTAAAGGACCACAGCTGGGATCAGATGAGGTTTTTTCTTCTTCCCACTCCTTCATAATACTTTTAATTTAGTATTATGTGATCGTCAGGGTTATTTATGCACTATTTTGATATTCTACTTTTGTTTCTCGTACACTCAAAATAAACTTCATTATGATCAGGATTATTAAATCTACGCTTGTCATTCAACACACTGTTGGCCTGTGAACCTTGCACACTTCCTCTGGATTAGATTCAATGTATATTTGCACCGCCCAAAATCACAGCACTTGTAATTCTGGAGGACTTTACAGAGTTGTTGATTCGCCAACACAGATCAGAGAATCAAACCGCTGCAATGATAAAAACACACACGGCCGTTGGTGCATAAGGAACAGATGTGCAAAAAATGTCAATAAAAGTCCATAAATGTCTAGACCCTTCTGCATCGGCAAAGACCCAAAAACCCAGTGGGAGAAAAGTGAAAAAACCTCAGTGAGGCCCACATTAACAGACAGACCCAGTCCCACAGACGGACTATGGATCCAGGACTCAGACCAAGTGCCTACACACAAGTCGGATCAAAGATGGACCCAGGATTTAGTCTCAGGTCTTGTCTCTGATCCACTTAAATAACATGGACTTCAGCGGTTGCTCTTTTCTCTGAGAGGCCGACTCTTCACTTTCCTTAAAACCTGCGCTGGACTCCATCAAGTCGAGAGCTTCATTATGAGATATTTTCTTCTGGCGGCAGCAGCGGCGTCGTCAGGAGCTCGCCGTCTCCTTTAACCAGCACTCAGAGCGTCCCCCGGTCACTATGGAAACGGTTAGAATGGTTAGTCTCTGGACTTTGATCGAGACCTGCACTTGAGAGACGGGACCGAGTTAGTTACAGACAAGACCAGGAAGAGGAAGTCTGTATACTGTCTATACTGCAATCTATACTACAGTCTATACTACAGTTTATACTACAGTCTATACTACAGTCTATACTAGTCTGTACTACAGTCTATACTACAGTCTATACTACAGTCTGTACTACAGTCTATACCACAGTCTATACTACAGTCTATACTAGTCTGTACTACAGTCTATACTACAGTCTGTACTACAGTCTATACTACAGTCTGTACTGCAATCTATACTACAGTCTATACTACAGTCTATACTACAGTCTGTACTACAGTCTATACTACAGTCTATACTACAGTCTATACTACAGTCTATACTACAGTCTATACTACAGTCTATACCACAGTCTATACTACAGTCTATACTACAGTCTATACCACAGTCTATACTACAGTCTATACTACAGTACTACAGTCTATACTAGTCTATACTACAGTCTGTACTACAGTCTATACTACAGTCTGTACTACAGTCTGTACTACAGTCTGTACTACAGTCTATACTACAGTCTGTACTACAGTCTATACTACAGTCTATACTACAGTCTATACTACAGTCTGTACTACAGTCTATACTACAGTCTGTACTACAGTCTATACTACAGTCTGTACTACAGTCTGTACTACAGTCTATACTACAGTCTGTACTACAGTCTATACTACAGTCTGTACTACAGTCTATACCACAGTCTATACTACAGTCTATACTACAGTCTATTCTACAGTCTATACCACAATCTATACTACAGTCTATACCACAGTCTATACTACAGTCTATACTACAGTCTATACTACAGTCTATACCACAGTCTATACTACAGTCTATACTACAGTACTACAGTCTATACTAGTCTATACTACAGTCTGTACTACAGTCTATACTACAGTCTGTACTACAGTCTATACTACAGTCTGTACTACAGTCTATACTACAGTCTGTACTACAGTCTGTACTACAGTCTATACTACAGTCTGTACTACAGTCTATACTACAGTCTATACTACAGTCTATACTACAGTCTATACTACAGTCTGTACTACAGTCTATACTACAGTCTATACTACAGTCTGTACTACAGTCTGTACTACAGTCTATACTACAGTCTGTACTACAGTCTATACTACAGTCTATACTACAGTCTGGACTACAGTCTGTACTACAGTCTATACTACAGTCTGTACTACAGTCTATACTACAGTTTATACTACAGTCTGTACTACAGTCTATACTACAGTCTGTACTACAGTCTATACTACAGTCTGTACTACAGTCTATACTACAGTCTATACTACAGTACTACAGTCTATACTACAGTCTATACTACAGTACTACAGTCTATACTACAGTCTATACTACATTCTATACTACAGTCTATACTACAGTACTACAGTCTATACTACAGTCTGTACTACAGGCTATACTACAGTCTATACTACAGTCTCTACTACAGTCTGTACTACAGTCTATACTACAGTCTATACTACAGTCTATACTACAGTCTGTACTACAGGCTATACTACAGTCTATACTACAGTCTCTACTACAGTCTATACTACAGTACTACAGTCTATACTACAGTCTATACTCCAGTACTACAGTCTGTACTACAGTCTATACTACAGTCTATACTACAGTACTACAGTCTATACTACAGTCTATACTACAGTCTGTACTACAGTCTGTACTACAGTCTATACTACAGTCTATACTACAGTCTATACTACAGTACTACAGTCTGTACCACATGAGTCTGGTGTGTGTGTGAATGGTTGGTGGTGGTGGGAGGGGCCGATGGCACAGAGTGGTTGCCTCTCTTCTGTCAGTGTGCCCCAGGGCAGCTGTGGCTACAGTAGTTAATCACCACCGTGTTTGGAGTGAAAGAATAAAAACAAGCGCTGTACAAAACGTTGCTGTAGCTTCAAAGGTCACAGGTTCAAACAACTCAAACATCTTAAAGTCCAGGCAATAATTTAACATTTTAACCAATTGTGACGTATTCAAAATGTAGTTAATCTGTTTATTTCCAGAGTTGGGCAGCGGCACGTCCGGGGCATGTTCTCTGAGATCTGTAATTTCAGATAAGAGTCAATTATTGCACACATCACACATTTATACCATCAGCAGAAATCTGGGCCTCGGTGAGTGTGGTGCTGATACGGCGTCCCGGTGCCCTTGCTCTTTAATGACATTTCTCTGTGTGTGGAGATAGAGGGAAAGCATCACAGTCAGCACACACAACATTCAACTATTTACCAGCGAGTCAATGATGTGGGACCTCGAGTCTTCTCAGAGAAAATATGTGTGTCACTAAAGTCTTAGATTTAAAAGAAATGACGGAAGTGTAACATTATTGTGTGTAGAAAGGAGAGAGTTGTGTAGTAAAGGACTGTAGTTCCAGAGACCCTAAACTGTCTGGATTTACTTTAGAATCAATGTGGTGTTGTGGGCAGAGCTGAAATTAATGATCGAACCAAATTATCGCCTGGATTCATTTGTACATTTCTTTAATTGTTTAAATATGTGTGAGATTTCATAACACTTTTAAGCAACTTTTGTTAAAGTTAAACTCATCATTCTATCAATGTGCAGAAGCCAGTACTTTTCCCTTGTTTTGTCTATCTGAAGGCCAAGCTACATGGCACTGTGGCAGCTGCTGATTGGAGGTCTCCATGCCTCCGCTCTGTATAATACACTTGCATTCTGTTGTATCTGGTGTTCGTGCTGTCTCTACCATCGACAATAAAACATGTCTTCTGTCTGAATGAAAGACGCGATCCCAGACTATGCCATCTTCTTCATATGAAATGCCTGAAAATAATAAATAAATAAACAACACAAAGGAGCCATTGGTCCAAAGGGAGAAGGACACTGACTCACAAACCCAGTGGTGGATAAATAATTACTCCTGATGCTTATTACATTTTTTTAATCACTATTTGAAAAACGTGGTTCTCTAAATATTATGCATTTAATGTTTCGTCAAATGATTAGTCTTATAACTAAAAACAGTCTCACCCTTGAACGTATGTAAATTCCTCTTGTCACGGTTCGTCCCGCCCTTCCCCAAAGACTCCGAGAGGGCAAATACAAAATGCTTTTTAAACATGTGACAGACAGCTCCGCAAATGAGAAATCATTTACTCTGGACAGAGGCTGCTGCTGCTGCCTCTGAGGCCTGTGACCACGTGACTCATGCTTCATGGTCTTGGCTCCGTCAGACACAAACACCAGCGCCTTCTCAGAGAAATGCACAATTATAACAAGTCCAGGGCAGAGGCTGGGGTTAGAGCAGCGGCCTCTATAAAGGCTAGAAACCAATAAAACATCGAGAGGTTTTAGCGGTGTGGAAACTTAATATTTACAGTCTATGGTGGCAACCTCAAGTCTTACATATAAGACCTTAAAAGTATTCATTCTAAATAAAAATCAGGACTCTCAAAGATGTCATAACTCAATCACCTCATACTCTACCACTGTAGCTGCCCTGAGGCACACTAAGAAGAGCGAGGCAACCAGTCTGTGCCATCAGCCCCTCCCACCACCACCAACCATTCACACACACACCAGACTCATTCTAATGTGGGGGAAGTGTCTTGCCTAAGGACACAACCACAGTTTACACGCTGACCCACTGTGGCTGCTGGTGTTCCCAGAGGTCTCCCATCCCAGCACTAACCAGGCCCTGCCGCACATATGATGAACTGTATAGATGTTTTTAATGCACCGCGTGGTCCCCAAACGGCTCCTGGGTTCTGCCGTTTCCACTGGAGCTGGAGGTGACTCATGTTGAGTGGAGTGTCGCCCTCTGGTGGCCGCGCTCAATATAACAAACAACAACAGTTCTAAAACCTTGCATAATATTTATTACTTTTTCAGATTTACAATGTATTTTACATTTAATTTACAAAAGGCTAATAACCGCCTGGTCTTACAAGTGTTAATACAAATGGGTGCATGTGTAACAAATGGTTTAACTGTGCAAGGTCTGGACATTTTGGATAAAACTTGGGTAATAGTGATTAATGCAATCAACAGCACTGCCATTGTTAGATATAACATATGTATCATTATGTACACAAACACAAACAGACATAAACCGGGATCAGGGATGCATCACCTAAAGTTGGAACCGTCAGTCAGGTTAGAAAAGTGGAAGGCGAACGGGGAGGTAGGTCGAGAGAAAGACGGATGGATTCGGAGGCGGTTTGGCCCTTCCCTCTAGCTTATGATTCTTTAAAAAGTTGCGTAAATCAAGTCCAGATAATCCCATCTGTAATCTCATTTAAAGAGTGGCCTCAGCCCTCCCTGGGTTGTTCTGTAAAGGCCTCGAGAGTTCCTTGTGTGTTAGTTCCCGCCGCCGCAGCAGCTCCGACTTGGGGGGGTCTGCTGCTGGAGGTCCACCCCGGTCCTGGTCCTGCCCGCTGGTCCTGCTCCCGCCTGTGGGTCGCCCTTGGGCAGTTTTTTAGCTTCGAAAATGGACACAAAAAAGAAAATGGTGTCAATATATTAGTTTACATTAAGGCAGGGGTGCCCAAACATGTTAGTAAGACTTAGACTCAGACGGACTTTATTGATACACAAGGGAAATTGCCACAGTAACTCGCATAGTTTTTCACACAAAAAAAAACATTAAAGTAATAATCTAATAATAATAATAAATAATAATAAGATAAGATAATATTGAGGGCCACTTTAGTTCCCCAGACTAGTCCAGGGGCTGATGTCATGGACTGAAAAACTGTCTAGATTGGTATCGGGCGTTTCTGAGCTTTACAATGATCTATAACGAAGATGAAGTTGGCTGAATGATTAACGTTTTCCATCTCACAAGTCATCAACAACTCCAGACGTACCGGGCTATAGAACAAGGTCTATATTGTCTGAGCTGAAGTTGGATGGATGACACAGTGACCTTTATGATCTCAAAGACTACTGTGGGTTAGCGAGGCAGAGGGCCACATACACTGACACTGAGGGCCGCAACTGGCCCCCGGGCCTGAGTTTGGACATGCCTGGATTAAAGTGTGGTCACTAAACCCATACGAACACATCTCCCAACATAGATGCAGGTATTGTTTAGGTGCGTCAGTCTACAGCGGTTTCTACAAATAACCAGTGGCAGATATGTTTTAACACAAACTTTGTAGGTCTGAGTGCAGCTGCAGCTGTCAAAAGCCGTACATACACTGTAAAATTCAGCTGCACAGGACACATGACACACAAGTCTTCTTCCGAAACTCACTGACTCACTACAGAACTTGAAAACCAACCTGTTTCAACCTTTTCCTCAATTTTCTGAGCTGACTGAGCTTTAAAATGATCTATAACAGAGCTGAAGTTGGCTGAATGACCCATGTTTACCATCTCACCAGCTACATTAGCATCTTTAACGGAAGTTTGTGACACAATCAAAAACCAACTAAAAACGACTGGGACTGGGCTTTAGAACGAGGTCTATATTGGCTGAGCTGAAGTTGGCTGGATGACACAGTTAACTTGTGTTTATGATAGATAGATAGACAACTCGTGTTTTAAAAGCAGTACCGATGGCCATGAAGATTTCGTTGACATTCATGGCAGTTTTGGCTGAAGTTTCCATGAAGAGAAGTCTGTTATCATCTGCATACTCCTGAGCCTCCTACACAAACACACACTTTCATAAATCAGCATCATTCTGGGGTTAAAAGTCTGTATTTACACTTTACCTGATTAACCACGATTCTCTTGTTGGCCATGTCGGCTTTGTTCCCAGCCAGAGCGATCACAATGTTGGGACTGGCTTGTCTCTGCAGCTCCATCACCCAGGTTTTAGCCCGGGTAAAAGACTCCTGTGACAGATTACAAAAGGTTTCATTAAAGGAGCAGTGTGTAAACATGTGGCCAAAAGTGGTACTGCAGCCTCTCCCACTCTCCCTGACTCAGGTTGCCAGATATGCAGACGAATCCAGCTGGGACCATAACAGCTGAATAGACAAGAGTTTTGTCAACAACAAATCTATAACCAACACCTTTTTCACAAAGATAGAAATCCTGGTTTTATTCCTTGTTTTGTCGTTAATGATTTGAGAATCATAACGAGACCTTTTTTAGACTTTCTGATTGGTGAAACGGTGGAGGGCGGGACATCAAAATGAAAAGAATAACAAGATTTAGAGGCTGGAAAAGTAATTTAGAAATTCAGTTTAGGGCCTTTTAATGATGACAGATTAGGGCTGGTCCCTATAGTCACTTACGGCGCTGGTCCCTATAGTCACTTACGGCGCTGGTCCCTATAGTCACTCACGGCGCTGGTCCCTATAGTCACTCATGGCGCTGGTCCCTATAGTCACTTACGGCATTGGTCCCTATAGTCACTCACGGCGCTGGTCCCTATAGTCACTTACGGCGCTGGTCTCTATAGGCACTGGTCTCTATAGGCACTGGTCCCTATAGTCACTTACGGCGCTGGTCCCTATAGTCACTCACGGCGCTGGTGCCTATAGTCACTAACGGCGCTGGTCCCTATAGTCACTTACGGCACTGGTCCCTATAGTCACTTACGGCGCTGGTCCCTAAAGTCACTCACGGCGCTGGTGCCTATAGTCACTAACGGCGCTGGTCCCTATAGTCACTTACGGCACTGGTCCCTATAGTCACTTACGGCACTGGTCCCTATAGTCACTTACGGAGCTGGTCCCTATAGTCACTCACGGCGCTGGTCCCTATAGTCACTCACGGCGCTGGTGCCTATAGTCACTAACGGCGCTGGTCCCTATAGTCACTCACGGCGCTGGTCCCTATAGTCACTCACGGCGCTGGTGCCTATAGTCACTTACGGCGCTGGTCCCTATAGTCACTTACGGCACTGGTCCCTATAGTCACTTACGGCACTGGTCCCTATAGTCACTTACGGAGCTGGTCCCTATAGTCACTCACGGCGCTGGTCCCTATAGTCACTCACGGCGCTGGTGCCTATAGTCACTAACGGCGCTGGTCCCTATAGTCACTCACGGCGCTGGTCCCTATAGTCACTTACGGCACTGGTCCCTATAGTCACTCACGGCGCTGGTCCCTATAGTCACTTACGGCGCTGGTCCCTATAGTCACTTACGGCGCTGGTCCCTATAGGCACTGGTCCCTATAGTCACTTACGGCGCTGGTGCCTATAGTCACTTACGGCGCTGGTGCCTATAGTCACTAACGGCGCTGGTCCCTATAGTCACTCACGGCGCTGGTCCCTATAGTCACTCACGGCGCTGGTCCCTATAGTCACTTACGGCACTGCTCCCTATAGTCACTCACGGCGCTGGTCCCTATAGTCACTCACGGCGCTGGTCCCTATAGTCACTCACGGCGCTGGTCCCTATAGTCACTTACGGCACTGGTCCCTATAGTCACTCACGGCGCTGGTCCCTATAGTCACTTACGGCGCTGGTCCCTATAGTCACTTACGGCGCTGGTCCCTATAGGCACTGGTCCCTATAGTCACTTACGGCGCTGGTGCCTATAGTCACTCACGGCGCTGGTGCCTATAGTCACTCACGGCGCTGGTCCCTATAGTCACTCACGGCGCTGGTGCCTATAGTCACTCACGGCGCTGGTCCCTATAGTCACTCACGGCGCTGGTCCCTATAGTCACTCACGGCGCTGGTCCCTATAGTCACTCACGGCGCTGGTCCCTATAGTCACTCACGGCGCTGGTCCCTATAGTCACTCACGGCGCTGGTCCCTATAGTCACTCACGGCGCTGGTCCCTATAGTCACTTACGGCACTGGTCCCTATAGTCACTTACGGCACTGGTCCCTATAGTCACTCACGGCGCTGGTCCCTATAGTCACTTACGGCACTGGTCCCTATAGTCACTTACGGAGCTGGTCCCTATAGTCACTCACGGCGCTGGTCCCTATAGTCACTCACGGCGCTGGTGCCTATAGTCACTAACGGCGCTGGTCCCTATAGTCACTCACGGCGCTGGTCCCTATAGTCACTCACGGCGCTGGTGCCTATAGTCACTTACGGCGCTGGTCCCTATAGTCACTTACGGCACTGGTCCCTATAGTCACTTACGGCACTGGTCCCTATAGTCACTCACGGCGCTGGTCCCTATAGTCACTCACGGCGCTGGTGCCTATAGTCACTAACGGCGCTGGTCCCTATAGTCACTCACGGCGCTGGTCCCTATAGTCACTCACGGCGCTGGTCCCTATAGTCACTTACGGCACTGGTCCCTATAGTCACTCACGGCGCTGGTCCCTATAGTCACTTACGGCGCTGGTCCCTATAGTCACTTACGGCGCTGGTCCCTATAGGCACTGGTCCCTATAGTCACTTACGGCGCTGGTGCCTATAGTCACTTACGGCGCTGGTGCCTATAGTCACTAACGGCGCTGGTCCCTATAGTCACTCACGGCGCTGGTCCCTATAGTCACTCACGGCGCTGGTCCCTATAGTCACTTACGGCACTGCTCCCTATAGTCACTCACGGCGCTGGTCCCTATAGTCACTTACGGCACTGGTCCCTATAGTCACTTACGGCGCTGGTCCCTATAGGCACTGGTCCCTATAGTCACTTACGGCGCTGGTGCCTATAGTCACTTACGGCGCTGGTGCCTATAGTCACTCACGGCGCTGGTCCCTATAGTCACTCACGGCGCTGGTGCCTATAGTCACTCACGGCGCTGGTCCCTATAGTCACTCACGGCGCTGGTCCCTATAGTCACTCACGGCGCTGGTCCCTATAGTCACTCACGGCGCTGGTCCCTATAGTCACTCACGGCGCTGGTCCCTATAGTCACTCACGGCGCTGGTCCCTATAGTCACTCACGGCACTGGTCCCTATAGTCACTTACGGCGCTGGTGCCTATAGTCACTTACGGCGCTGGTCCCTATAGTCACTTACGGCGCTGGTCCCTATAGGCACTGGTCCCTATAGTCACTCACGGCGCTGGTCCCTATAGTCACTCACGGCGCTGGTCCCTATAGTCACTTACGGCGCTGGTGCCTATAGTCACTCACGGCGCTGGTCCCTATAGTCACTCACGGCGCTGGTGCCTATAGTCACTCACGGCGCTGGTCCCTATAGTCACTCACGGCGCTGGTCCCTATAGTCACTCACGGCGCTGGTCCCTATAGTCACTCACGGCGCTGGTCCCTATAGTCACTCACGGCGCTGGTCCCTATAGTCACTCACGGCGCTGGTCCCTATAGTCACTCACGGCGCTGGTCCCTATAGTCACTCACGGCGCTGGTCCCTATAGTCACTCACGGCGCTGGTCCCTATAGTCACTTACGGCACTGGTCCCTATAGTCACTTACGGCACTGGTCCCTATAGTCACTTACGGCACTGGTCCCTATAGTCACTCACGGCGCTGGTCCCTATAGTCACTCACGGCGCTGGTGCCTATAGTCCACTCACGGCGCTGGTCCCTATAGTCACTCACGGCGCTGGTCCCTATAGTCACTTACGGCGCTGGTCCCTATAGTCACTCACGGCGTTGGTCCCTATAGTCACTCACGGCGCTGGTCCCTATAGTCACTCACGGCGCTGGTCCCTATAGTCACTTACGGCGCTGGTCCCTATAGTCACTCACGGCGCTGGTCCCTATAGTCACTTACGGCGCTGGTGATGTCGAAGACCACAATGGCCGCCTGTGCTCCTCTGTAGTACATTGGAGCCAGACTGTGGTATCGCTCTTGTCCGGCCGTGTCCCATATTTCAAACTTCACCGTAGTGTCGTCCAAACAGACCGTCTGAGTCAGAAACGCCGCTGAGAGAGAAAAGAACAGAAGATAAGACAGAGATCCCTTATTCGTCCCACAGTGGGGAAATTTCAATGTTGCAGCGCACATTTTGTTTGTTTATATGGATGTGTTTCTGCTGCTACTGGACACCTGCATTTCTCCAACAGGGATCAATAAAGTATCTATCCACCCATCTTCTTCCCCTTAATCCATTCTGGGTCAGGGAGTGGCAGTGGCAGCCAGTCCACAGAGCACCAGCCCCTCACTGATCCTCCTGCAGGTGGTGAGCCCACAGGAGCCTTGATTTTCCAGCGGGGGCTTCAGGCAAAGTGGGGATAAGTGTCTTGCCCAAGGACACAAAGACAGAAGTCATCAGTGAGAGTCATGAAGTAGGTCTTGTGGTGGGCTCGAACCCATGACCTTCAGGCTCAAAGGCCAGTGCTCTACCAACTGAGCTACTGTCGCCCCATCTATCAATCTATGTATCTATGAATCTATGTATCTATCGATCTATGTATCTATCGATCTATGTATCTATCAATCTATGTATCTATCGATCTATGTATCTATCAATCTATGTATCTATCGATCTATGTATCTATCAATCTATGTATCTATCGATCTATGTATCTATCAATCTATGTATCTATCAATCTATGTATCTATCAATCTATGTATCTATCGATCTATCTATCAATCTATGTATCTATCAATCTATGTATCTATCAATCTATTTATCTATCAATCTATGTATCTATCAATCTATGTATCTATCAATCTATGTATCTATCGATCTATGTATCTATCAATCTATGTATCTATCAATCTATGTATCTATCAATCTATGTATCTATCGATCTATGTATCTATCGATCTATCTATCAATCTATGTATCTATCGATCTATGTATCTATCGATCTATGTATCTATCAATCTATGTATCTATCGATCTATGTATCTATCAATCTATGTATCTATCGATCTCAAAGGACTTTAAAAAACCGCTGAATTCGCCAACACAGATCAGAGAATCAAAAGTCCAAACACAACAAATGCTACAATAAAAACACATAGAGCCATTGGTCCATAAGGGACAAAGACCTATTATGAGATCTCACCTCCAATTGTTGCTTCTTGAAATTCATGAAACTGCCCCTTGACGAAGCGAAGGACCAGACTGGACTTCCCCACGGAGGACTCTCCCAGCAGCACTAGCTTGAACTGGCAGATTTTATTGGTCGCTCCGCTGTTGGGCCGTGTGTTTGCTCCTGGACGTCCAGCCATTGATGCTGAAGGATGGACAGGTTGTGCAAAAGAGAAGAGGTCACAGGCCAAGGATCCAAAAGGCCTGCACAGATACAGGGAAAACATCAGAAATGAGAAGATAAGACCTTTAAAAACGTCTGTATACAACGTTATGGCTTAAAAATAGCAACGTTTATGTCACTTCCCGTCAATAAGAATTTTCCGCAAACTTCTTTTCGCATGATATGTATTGATAGAAACCGCTAATGGTGAATCTATCTGTCAAAATGAGTTCTATTTAACACAAAAAAGACAACAATACACCAACAAAATGAGAATAGGTGTCGATAAATTGTCCCACATAGGAGAAATGTCGTTGTTGCAGCACAAGCCAAAGAGCGTGATGAGAGTAGACAAGGAGAACACAAAAAAACATAATTATAAGTTTGTGCATGATGGGTCAATAAAGAAGATAAAAGTGACATTAAGGGGACAAATACAAAATAACAACATAATAAATTATTCTTTCTAGTGTACAGTAAATGAACAGACCTAAAAGTTAGTGATATATTCTCCTAAAATCAAAGAAAACAAGATTTTTTTTCACTGGTGCCAAGAACAACATCTAGGGGTGGTCCTTCCCGTCAGTCCAGTCTGAAAAGAAAAGGCTGATCTACAGTTGCAAGAACCAGACGGTTTCAGAGCCAGGAACTACATGTATGGACTTTATTATATAGTTAAATATGTGTGGTTTGAAAGTTAGGTACACCAGCTTTAACCTTCAAGTATAATATTTCAACTGCTGTTTATTGAACCATGTGTCACATCTAGATTACGGTGACTTTCTAATTCTCCAACTAAAGTCATATTTATGCTGCTATTAGCTTGAGCATCAATAAGTTCGTAGCAAAAACAGTCTTATTGTTGACACTAAACACCGCTGCAGTGCACTGGGCAGACACGTATCTGGACGTGTGCTGTGACATTTTTATTTTTATTATTATAATTTTATTTTATATGACATGAGACTGTACGATTACGTAGCCAACTTCAGTTATGACGTGAAGAAAATAGAAACGTTAAAAATGTCATAAATAACAAAAACCCTCTGAAACCCAAAGCTAACTTTTGTCTGTCACGTCGGGTCACGTCAACCCGGAAGTGGGAGCAGGACGCGGGTACAACAAAGTGGACTCACCGATCAGGCAAACAGCGTGCTCCTCTTTCTAGATTGGGAATAATAGTTTAATTTCGTGTTGTTAAGACTTTTTTCTCTCCACAAAAACAACACAGCTTCCGCCCCTTGAAACCAAATACTTCCTGGATTCCGCTGTCACGTGATTGGAGCTTCAACCAATGAAATGCACGGGAATAAAGTTGTTAAAAAATGTATTATATTCTTTTTTGGAAATATATTAAAAGTACAATAATATTTCAAGGGCTTACAATTTTTGCCGTTTTCCAAGAAGTTTTTTCCAAAGCTTGATCTATTTTAGTGCCGTAATAATTAAGATTCGCCCTTTCTTGAGCAAATCCTTTCAAAGTTCTGCCAATAACAAAACATGTTAAAGATTGTAGCTTGAGGAACTTTGTGGTAAACTTGGTAAACACATGGATATGAAATGAATAACAAAGCATTAGTTTATCTCAATCAAACAGCATAAGATAGAGATAAAGTAAATACAAACAACAATAAAAATACATTTTAATTCTTGCAGTTCCCTCCGCTACCTCTGTAACATGTCCACTATAAAATTGAGTTTCTATAATAACGACTTTTTCCCATATGTTTAATGTCATTTTTATTTGCTGAGCAGAGCAGTCTTCACTTTGTTATGACTTTCACATTGTCTGAGCTCTTTTTTTCAAGGATTATCTGCTCTGTTGTATAAACACATGACGCACTGATGCTCCTTTTGAAACGTCCAAAAGCAGAAGTGAAAGATACAAAGAAACATCTGCAGACTCCTCCTTTAATGTTATTTGTCACTGGCTGTAGATTTTTAACAAAAGTGAAAATATACAGTATATAATTATGCAAATGATTTAATGGTAAAACATGACATCGATTAATGTTGATTTATGTGAATTGTGCAGGTTTGAAATGAATAAATATGAATCTATTCTAAAAATCTGATGTGTGCAATTCTGATTGCAGCAGTTTACGCAAACATCAGGTCATAATTGATTTTTATTTGTTAACAGTATTATGTATAACACTCATATTGAACCCTGGGGCCCCACTTGCCCCGTGCCCCCTGCTCCAGGAGCTCCGGCCCTGCTCACAGCTGCACTGGACTGAAGATGGAAACAATATTATTTGTGAATTGGATTTTTGAGAGGAGTAAGTGCTGAAGAATTGTAAATGTCCTCTAAGAAATTAACTTTGTCTGAGTTCAGAGAATAATAATTATCACACAATAGAATTAGAATCCTCAAAGTTGACAAACCAACATATGCAATAACTTACAACTTACAATAACTTTCTTGTATAAATCAGTCAATGACATTTTCTGCAGATGTTTTTATTGAGTTGAATGCATTGTTTTTATCTGTTGCAGCCGTCGCTCCTGCAGCAGAAAGCAGACGATATCCCAGGCCTGTCCAGAGCGGCGCATGTGGACGCAGACATGCAGCCTCTGAAGTAGTTTGGGCCTGAGAGAAGAAAGAAGAGAGATTATTATGAAACACACACATCTGTAAAACACACAATATTCTGCATGCAAAGACTCTCACTGGCTCCTGCGGTGATAACCACTCTGCCACACAGCTCACTGAAGCTGCTGCAGGTTTCCACTCCACCAGACGGACAAATCCTCAGTCCTCCACAGAAGCATCTCAGACCGTCGCCTTCGAAACATTATGAAGATATTTGTTGTGACAGTTTAAAGATGGATCTGAAACACCACAAACTCACCGTGACTGAGAACCAGCAGCAGACAGAGCAGGACGACCGCGCTCTTCATTTCTCTGCAGAGTTTTTAAATCTGTGAGCTTCAAAATGCTGCTTGAGTCTCTGAGTTCTCGTTTATGGTTTGGCAAACAGGAAAACACTGAGTTACCACATTATTGAGAAAATTTTGAGAACGGGAAGATTCACAACTGTTGATTCTTTACTTTACTCTTACTAATGCTGAGGTAGTAATAATGTAGGAAGAGAAACTGATTTTCTTGTGGACTAGATAGATTGATAGATACTTTATTGATCACTGTGGTAGACATTCAGGTGTCCAGAAGCAGAAAAAAAAAAAAAAAACACAATAGATAATTCTAAATACATCAGTCCTTCAGGTCTCAGCAGCAGGTGGAGCTCGGTTCAGACCATTTTCTCTGCTCTGGTCTGGACCAGTGTAAAACCATGAATCCACTCTGCTCTGGTCTGGACCAGTGTAAAACCATGAATCCTCTCTGCTCTGGTCTGGACCAGTGTAAAACCATGAATCCTCTCTGCTCTGGTCTGGACCAGTGTAAAACCATGAATCCTCTCTGCTCTGGTCTGGACCAGTGTAAAACCATGAATCCTCTCTGCTCTGGTCTGGACCAGTGTAAAACCATGAATCCTCTCTGCTCTGGTCTGGACCCTACCACTAAAATCATGCACAATAGGTCTGAATGTAATGAGTGAGTGAATGGCGGGTGTTTGGTCGGAGGCTTTGATGGTCCGGTGTGTTCTGGTCTCGCCTCCGTCATCACCGTGTGGAGAGAATGGACAAATATCTGGTTTCTGAACTCTCTGAACCCGCTATAGAACTACATTACTTACAGTAGCTACTTGTGTGTGGTCGTGTCTGTGCGTGTCGACAACAAACCCTTGAACATGAGATAATACATTTCTATAAATAAATGTATCACTTTTTATTGAGTTTTGGTGTGATTGGTGTTATCTGTTACAGAGGTCGGTTTGGCAGCAGAAGGCGGACGATATCCCGGGCATGTCGAGAGCGAAACACACGGGCGCAGGGAGGCAGCCGCTAAAGTGTTTTGGTTCTGTGAAAATGAAGAAAAGAGGTTTATAACAAAAAGTTGTCAGAAAAAACACCTCTTTATTGTATTTATGTTCAGTGTAAAAACTGAATCATATGTAGATTAATAACACGGGATAAGGGTGCACTATAGAAACACTTTGGTCAAACTGATATTAGTTGAATATACCGCACAGAACTGGGAATTGTATTGTATTTGCTGCTCCTTCTGATCTGAATTTATTTCATTGAATGCTTTTAGATCCAGATTGAGAGACTGAGACGTCCTCATTGAAATGTAACTGTTTTTATAATCCGTAATAATCTGTTATGTGTGTATCTGTATGTAACTTTGTCCAGGACTCCCTTGAAAAAGAGGGTCTTAATCTCAATGGGACTTTCCTGGTCCTGATGTCTGCTGCCGTTGTGTGCTTGGGCAACACACCTGAAGATGCAGTCAGTGGTTGTTTCCAGACGCATTCTTTAAAATGTTGTGGGAAAACGTCCCTAAACCCTAAAAGTATTAAGTTATCATGTGTTTTCAAATAGAATTGACCAGATGCCTATAGTCTCCAAAAAATAATAAAAAATATTTGATTCAGATTCAGATTCATTTATTTTCCATTTGCAGTAAAACCACATTGGAATACATGTGCAAAAGTCCCCAGTGTGCACCAGACAAGTACAGACATGGTAAACAATAGACACTTTGAAATTGATCGACTAAAACAGTTTCAATACAAGATCATTAAAGTGCTCTGTTCAAACTGATAACAGCTTGTGGGAAGAAGCCGTTAGCATGTCAAGATGTCCTGCCAGAAGGAAGAAGCTGGAACATGGCTTTTCCAGGGTGGGCAGAAGAGTCAGTGATTATTCTAAGAGCTCGGTCTAAAAGTCTTTATAAAGAATCTTCAGAACAGGAAACAGTCTTCTCTCTGGTCTCTCTCTGGTCTCTCTTTGGTCTCTCTTTGGTCTCCCTCTGGTCTCTCTCTGGCCTCTCTCTGGTCTCTCTCTGGTCTCTCTCTGGTCTCTCTTTGGTCTCCTTCTGGTCTCCCTCTGGTCTCTCTCTGGTCTCTCTCTGGTCTCTCTCTGGTCTCTCTCTGGTCTCTCTCTGGCCTCTCTCCGGTCTCTCTCTGGTCTCTCTCTGGTCTCTCTCTGGCCTCTCTCTGGTCTCTCTCTGGTCTCTCAGGTCTCTCTGGTCTCTCTTTGGTCTCTCTTTGGTCTCCCTCTGGTCTCTCTCTGGCCTCTCTCTGGTCTCTCTCTGGTCTCTCTCTGGTCTCTCTTTGGTCTCCTTCTGGTCTCTCTCTGGTCTCTCTCTGGTCTCTCTCTGGCCTCTCTCTGGTCTCTCTCTGGTCTCTCTCTGGTCTCTCTTTGGTCTCCCTCTAGTCTCTCTCTGGTCTCTCTCTGGTCTCTGTCTGGTCTCTCTCTGGCCTCTCTCTGGTCTCTCTCTGGTCTCTCTGGTCTCTCTTTGGTCTCTCTTTGGTCTCCCTCTGGTCTCTCTCTGGCCTCTCTCTGGTCTCTCTCTGGTCTCTCTCTGGTCTCTCTCTGGTCTCTCTCTGGTCTCTCTCTGGTCTCTCTCTGGTCTCTCTCTGGTCTCTCTCTGGCCTCTCTCTGGTCTCTCTCTCTGTCTCTCTGGATCTCTCTTTGGTCTCTCTTTGGTCTCCCTCTGGTCTCTCTCTGGGATCTCTCTGGTCTCTCTCTGGTCTCTCTCTGGTCTCTCTTTGGTCTCCCTCTGGTCTCTCTCTGGTCTCTCTCTGGTCTCTCTCTGGTCTCCCTCTGGTCTCTCTCTGGCCTCTCTCTGGTCTCTCTCTGGTCTCTCTTTGGTCTCCCTCTGGTCTCTCTCTGGTCTCTCTCTGGTCTCTCTCTGGCCTCTCTCTGGTCTCTCTCTGGTCTCTCTTTGGTCTCTCTTTGGTCTCTCTTTGGTCTCCCTCTGGTCTCTCTCTGGCCTCTCTCTGGTCTCTCTCTGGTCTCTCTCTGGTCTCTCTCTGGTCTCTCTCTGGTCTCTCTCTGGTCTCTCTCTGGTCCCTCTCTGGTCCCTCTCTAGTCTCTCCGGTGTCTCTCTCTGGTCTCTCTCTGGTCTCTCTCTAGGTCTCTCTCGGGTCTCTCTCGGGTCTCTCTCGGGTCTCTCTCTGGTCTCTCTCTGGTCTCTCTCTGGTCTCTCTCTGGTCTCTCTCTGGTCTCTCTCTGGTCTCTCTCTGGTCTCTCTTTGGTCTCTCTTTGGTCTCCCTCTGGTCTCTCTCTGGCCTCTCTCTGGTCGCTCTCTGGTCTCTCTCTGGTCTCTCTCTGGTCTCCCTCTGGTTTCTCTCTGGTCTCTCTCTGGTCTCTCTCTGGTCTCTCTTTGGTCTCCCTCTGGTCTCTCTCTGGTCTCTCTCTGGTCTCTCTCTGGTCTCTCTCTGGTCTCCCTCTGGTCTCTCTCTGGTCTCTCTCTGGTCTCTCTCTGGTCTCTCTCTGGTCTCTCTCTGGTCTCCCTCTGGTCTCTCTCTGGTCTCTCTCTGGTCTCTCTCTGGCCTCTCTCCGGTCTCTCTCTGGTCTCTCTCTGGTCTCTCTCTGGCCTCTCTCTGGTCTCTCTCTGGTCTCTCAGGTCTCTCTGGTCTCTCTTTGGTCTCTCTTTGGTCTCCCTCTGGTCTCTCTCTGGCCTCTCTCTGGTCTCTCTCTGGTCTCTCTCTGGTCTCTCTTTGGTCTCCTTCTGGTCTCTCTCTGGTCTCTCTCTGGTCTCTCTCTGGCCTCTCTCTGGTCTCTCTCTGGTCTCTCTCTGGTCTCTCTTTGGTCTCCCTCTAGTCTCTCTCTGGTCTCTCTCTGGTCTCTCTCTGGTCTCTCTCTGGCCTCTCTCTGGTCTCTCTCTGGTCTCTCTGGTCTCTCTTTGGTCTCTCTTTGGTCTCCCTCTGGTCTCTCTCTGGCCTCTCTCTGGTCTCTCTCTGGTCTCTCTCTGGTCTCTCTCTGGTCTCTCTCTGGTCTCTCTCTGGTCTCTCTCTGGTCTCTCTCTGGTCTCTCTCTGGCCTCTCTCTGGTCTCTCTCTGGTCTCTCTGGTCTCTCTTTGGTCTCTCTTTGGTCTCCCTCTGGTCTCTCTCTGGCCTCTCTCTGGTCTCTCTCTGGTCTCTCTCTGGTCTCTCTTTGGTCTCCCTCTGGTCTCTCTCTGGTCTCTCTCTGGTCTCTCTCTGGTCTCCCTCTGGTCTCTCTCTGGCCTCTCTCTGGTCTCTCTCTGGTCTCTCTCTGGTCTCTCTTTGGTCTCCCTCTGGTCTCTCTCTGGTCTCTCTCTGGTCTCTCTCTGGCCTCTCTCTGGTCTCTCTCTGGTCTCTCTTTGGTCTCTCTTTGGTCTCTCTTTGGTCTCCCTCTGGTCTCTCTCTGGTCTCTCTCTGGTCTCTCTCTGGTCTCTCTCTGGTCTCTCTCTGGTCTCTCTCTGGTCTCTCTCTGGTCTCTCTCTGGTCTCTCTCTGGTCTCTCTCTCTGGTCTCTCTCTGGTCTCTCTCTAGGTCTCTCTCGGGTCTCTCTCGGGTCTCTCTCGGGTCTCTCTCTGGTCTCTCTCTGGTCTCTCTCTGGTCTCTCTCTGGTCTCCCTCTGGTTTCTCTCTGGTCTCTCTCTGGTCTCTCTCTGGTCTCTCTTTGGTCTCCCTCTGGTCTCTCTCTGGTCTCTCTCTGGTCTCTCTCTGGTCTCCCTCTGGTCTCTCTCTGGTCTCTCTCTGGTCTCTCTCTGGTCTCTCTCTGGTCTCTCTCTGGTCTCCCTCTGGTCTCTCTCTGGTCTCTCTCTGGCCTCTCTCTGGTCTCTCTCTGGTCTCTCTCTGGTCTCTCTCTTGTCTCTCTATCTCTGGTCTCTCTCTGGTTTCTCTCTGGTCTCTCTCTGGTCTCTCTCTGGTCTCTCTCTGGTCTCTCTCTGGCCTCTCTCTGGTCTCTCTCTGGTCTCAGAGTGAGTGGATTTAACCCAGTTTGGTCAGATACCTACAGTAACTATCCCTAGTTTCTGCTGTCTTTACATCTGTATTTAGAGAGTGTGTATTTAGACTAAACGCAGAGACTGGGACTCACTGGCTCCTGCAGTGACACAGCTCGTCGATTCCATGGCAGACCTCCTCCAGACGATGAGCACAAATCCTCTGCCCTGCACAGAAGCATCTCAGACCGTCGCCTTCCAAATCATTCACATTTTTTACATTTTCATCAGTTTAAACACGGATCTGCGAATACCACAAACTCACCGTGACTGAGAACCAGCAGCAGACAGAGCAGGACGACCGCTCTCTTCATTTATCTGAAAAGTTTTTAAATCATTGAGAAACAAAAATCCCTGGGTTCACGTTTATAGTTTGGCTGTTGCTGCAAACAGGAAACACTGTTGCGACATTACTGAGAAAATGGTGAGAGCAGAACATGAGATTTTCAGCTGTAAATCAATGTCATAAATACAATATAAGATGTGCAGCTGCAGTTCCTCTGTTGGACTGCAGGGGGCAGTGGAAGAACACGTGGAGACTGTTTCAAAACCTCAGACTGGTATAAAGAGACAGCTCCGTGCCCCAGAACAAGCTGTATACTCTACTCTACTCTACTCTACCTTACTCTACCCTACCCTACCCTACTCTACTCTACCCTACTCTACCTTACCCTACCCTACTCTACTCTACTCCACTCTACTCTACCTTACCCTACTCTACCCTACTCTACTCTACTCTATTCTACTCTACTCTACTCTACTTTACCCTACCCTACTCTACTCTACTCTACTCTACTTACCCTACTCTACTCTACTCTACCCTACCCTACCCTACCTTACCCTACCCTACTCTACTCTACTCTACTCTACCTTACTCTACCTTACCCTACTCTACTCTACTCTATTCCACCCTACCCTACTCTACTCTACTCTACTCTACTCTACTCTATTCCACCCTACCCTACTCTACTCTACTCTACTCTACCCTACCCTACTCTACTCTACTCTACTCTACCCTACTCTACTCTACTCTACTCTACTCTACTTACCCTACTCTACTCTACTCTACCCTACCCTACCCTACCTTACCCTACCCTACTCTACTCTACTCTACTCTACCTTACTCTACCTTACCCTACTCTACTCTACTCTATTCCACCCTACCCTACTCTACTCTACTCTACTCTACTCTACCCTACCCTACTCAACCCTACCCTACCCTACTCTACTCTACTCTACTCTACCCTACCCTACTCTACTCTACCCTACCCTACCCTACTCTACTCTACTCTATTTTACTCTATTCTACCCTACTCTACTCTACTCTACTCTACTCTACTCTACTCTACTCTACTCTACTCTACTCTACCCTACTCTACTCTACTCTACTTACCCTACTCTACTCTACTCTACCCTACCCTACCCTACCTTACCCTACCCTACTCTACTCTACTCTACTCTACCTTACTCTACCTTACCCTACTCTACCCTACCCTACCCCACTCTACTCTACTCTATTCCACCCTACCCTACTCTACTCTACTCTGCTCGACTCTACTCTACCCTACCCTACCCTACCATACTCTACCCTACTCTACTCTACTCTACTTACCCTACTCTACTCTACTCTACCCTACCCTACTCTACTCTACCCTACCCTACCCTACTCTACTCTACTCTACTTACCCTACTCTACTCTACCCTACCCTACTCTACTCTACTTACCCTACTCTACTCTACTCTATTCTACTCTATTCTACCCTACTCTACTCTACTCTACTCTACCCTACTCTACCCTACCCTACCCTACTCTACCCTACCCTACCCTACTCTACCCTACCCTACCCACTCTACTCTACTCTACTCTACCCTACCCTTCTCTACCCCTACCCTACTCTACTCTACCCTACCCTACTCTACTCTACTCTACCCTACCCTACCGTACTCTACTCTACTCTACCCTACTCTACTGTACTTAACCTACTCTACTCCTCTCTACTCTACTCTACTCTAGTCTAGTTGTAGGTTTCCTACAGGTGCTCCGGTTTCCCCTACCACTAAAAACATGCACAATTGGTCTGAATGTAACAAATGAATGGATGGTGTTTGGTCGGAGGCTTTGATGGACCTGAACTCTGAACAGCGCTCTCTTGGTCTGTAAAAATGCGCTGCTTACATTACTCACTTACTTTTCCGGAACATGAATTTGTCGCTCTCAGAAGCAATCTTGAACCCAGAGACTTATGCCTCTCTGGTCCGTTCATATTTATTTATTAAATGTGGGATTAATGCTGTTTTGTTGAATATCCACATTTGGACTGTGTTACATAATCAGATGGAAAAGCCTGGGACATAAATGGGATCTAAAGTATGGATTTACGTGTTAATGAGAGACACAGCAGCAGCCGTCGCCCCATCTGCCCTGAACTTAGCAACGCTGGATTTAAAACAAGAGCAAAACCTCCACAAAACATGGACTTTTACAAAATAAAAGTTTAAAAACAGCTGTGTAGAAGTGTGGAGTGAGAATGTGCTGTGCCGAAGAGTACACTGTCTCCCTCTTCAACCAATCAAAACAACATTAAAAAGTAAATAGTGCCATGTTTTGCGATGAAAAGAGTGAAAAATACAAACAAAATACAGAATTTAGTTTTATTTAGTCATCGAAGGAGAAACAGTTCAAAAATATTGAAATACTCTCAGTAGTTTCAGGGTTTGTGAGTTAAATACTGATGTAGAGTTTGCACATGAAGTAAAAGTGGTTCTAATGCCAGGATCATAGCAAAATACAGTACATCATTAATGGCATATTTGCAAATTGAAACGATATCCTCCTAGATTGTATCGGCGGCTATTGAGTAACAAGGTGATCCTATGGTCGGCACTAGATCAACTACGAAACCAGAAGTTATAATCCTACTTTCGAATTAGTTTCAGACTAATAAGTCGTTAAGTGGTGACTGGTCTGAGTAAGATGGTTAAGGTTAGGGTTAAGGTGGGTCTGAGTAAGATGGTTAAGGTTAGGGTTAAGGTGGGTCTGAGTAAGATGGTTAAGGTTAGGGTTAAGGTGGGGAATGGCTGGTTAGGTTTAGGCATGAATAGGTAGTTTGTTATATTTACATCCGTATATGATCTAGTGCGGACCATGATCCTATAGAGACACATTCAAACCGTCTAAAGTGGAGTGAGACCTCCTGTTTCCTTTGATCCAGAGAGTTACAGTAAATCATGCAATCGCTGAGGCCTAAGACCAAGTTAAAGGCGTCCACACTGATTAAAAAACCTTTCCCCGTAGAAAAAATATCAAACAATTTCCACATGCAAAGAGGTAACAGGTGTAACCATCTGTAGTAAAGAGAATAATACAAGACACACTTCTGTAAAAGCCGTGACGTGCGATTGCATAGAGATGGATGAGGGAGCGCGGAGATGGACAAAGATATAGCCCCAATCTGAACAAACATCTGCCATGGTTTGTAGCTCAAAAGAGATCCGATAAAACGTTACTACTACATTGACAATCTAAAGCCCAGACTACCTTTTCAGCCAGTGTAATGCATCTGTCTGACCACAAGAGGGCCCTCACTTCCCAGAAGCTACGTCATGTTCCAACCCTCACCTTGACCCTGAAAAAAAATATAATATCTGATCATAGCTATGTCCATTAAAGTCTCGGACCACAGCCTCATGATCCAAGTCTTGTGCTTTAGTCTGTGAGGTCCAGACACCAGGACGAGTCTGGGTTCTGGGTCTGGACTCCGCCGGCCTGGAAAGACGACGTGCTGCCTTGATCTCGCCTCTCTTTGAACCCTCCAGTCGCCAAGAAGGACTCCAGGCCCTCATGTCCGTCCAGGCGCTCTCCCCTCAGCCTGCCGAGATCCAAAGAGGAGCGTGGAGCGAGCCGGTGGTGCGATGGTGGAGACGGCGCCACGGACAGAAAGCTTGTAGTTACGTTAAAAGAATGACGCTCTGGTCGTTGTAGTAAAGGAGTGGTTTCGGGCGGTGGGCAGAGCAGCGGGTACGAGGTCAAGGACTGGGATTGAAGGCTCTGTGTGGATTCCCCGCTGGACAAAAGGCGGTAGTCAGAGTTTGGGGGCTGCAGGCACAAGGTGGGCTGTGATTGGCTGATGGAGCTGCTCAGGAGGCTACAGCTCTCCAGGCTCTGGGGGCTCGAGCAGAGAAGAGAGGGTCCGGTCCAGGAGTGGGTCGTGACCACACTGCTTATGCTTTCAACAGTCTGTCTGGAAGCTGCAGGAGGAGGAGGACCAGCAGGACTAGGACCAGGACCACCACCAGGACCACCACCGGGACCTCCAGCACCAGCAGGACCTGGACCAGGACCAGGACCAGGACCAGGAGGACCAGCAGCAGCAGCAGCAGTAGCGGTGGGGCTGGAGGAGCGTGGACTGTGCACTGCGTAGCCCCATAATGCTGAGGGGTGAGCGGCTGGGAGAGTCTGAGGGCCCCCCGTGTCTGTGCTGTGGGGGGGTGGGTGGTGTGGGTGAGGGTGGGGGTGGTGGGGGTGAGGGTGGGGGTGAGGGTGGGGGGAGTGAGGGTGGGGGTGGTGGGGGTGAGGGGGGAAGCGATGTGAGGAAACGTGAGCCTCCAGGAGATGCATCATACGGTGGAGGTTCTTGGTGAGCTCCGAGACTTCGAGATTCAACGTTTCCATCTGAGAAAAGAAGCAGAAAGCAGAGAGTGTGGTGTTTAAGAGAAGAGAGAGAAACTGGACTTGTCCCACGGTGGGGAAATGTCAATGTTGCAACACACAGACAGGACAGCAGAAGAGACACAGTGGGCACACGGCTTATACAAAACAAGAAGCTGCTATTCCAGTGCATTTCAGAGACAGGACCCGAAGATTACACAGGCGTACAGGGAGAACTTTATAGATAGAGTTTTTTTAAAGCTGTGTTGATACTGTGTTGTAAAGGGCTCTATAAACAAAATGGATGGATTTGACTCTGAGAGCTGATTGGCTGAGGCTGGTCTCTCTTTTTCACTTTTCTGTCTAAAAAAGCACCGACCGAGGCCAAACTAGTGAAACTGTTTTGATAGATGCATTTTATAACACTGTCCATTTATTTTATGTTGGAAAGTTATGTACCCCAGCTTTAATCCAAAGTTATGTAGTTGGCAGCTAAACCTTTTCTGCTTTAGGCTGTGGTTATGCAAAGGAGAAAACAAAGGCGTACGGCGCTCACTTCCACCGTGAGGACTTTGAGAGGACTTGGTTCTGACGTCGGCTCCAGAGCAGCAGCGTGACGCACTTTGGGACAAAGGACAGAAAAATGTGGAACGACCAAAATAAAAAGTAAAGCTTCACACGAGGAACACGGCACAGAACAGGTTTGTGTTTCACAAAGTCGTCCAGTCAGCGGAAAACTGCACCGGTCACATGGGAATGATGGATTATACTGTAGCTGCATCCACACCTGCCTCAGAGCCAGGCAGTATATACTACCATATACTACTACTACTACTACTATGTATATATATATATATATAGGCCTGGGAGCTTGAGGGTTCTGCGCAGTATCTTTGCTGTGACTGCACTGCACATTTCTGGGCTGAGATTTCAGAGGTTGTTCCAGGGATCCGCTGTAACCACTGTTCCATGTAGGCCTTCCCTGCAGCATCTCCTGCAGTTATGTGTTTGGTCGTCTCAGGTGCCTCTTTGCACAACCGACACCATGGGTCTCCTCTGGTGTGGTATATCTGTACCATGGGTCTCCTCTGGTGTGGTATATCTGTACCATGGGTCTCCTCTGGTGTGGTATATCTGTACCATGGGTCTCCTCTGGTGTGGTATATCTGTACCATGGGTCTCCTCTGGTGTGGTATATCTGTACCATGGGTCTCCTCTGGTGTGGTATATCTGTACCATGGGTCTCCAGCCCTTTCTAGCCATTGGTAGGACTTCTTGGGATCAGCCACTTCTGTTATGCTCCGGTGCTACATGCCGTGTAGGGGCTTGTCCTCCCATGATGGGCCTCCCCCAGCACCTCCTCATCTTGCAGCTCTATAGCCGCGCAGCTCTATAGCCACGCAGCTCTAGCCTTGATCTTTCAACAGGGGCTTCAGGTAAAGTGGGGTTAAGTGTCGTGCCCAGGTACACAATAACAGCCGACATCTGTGGGAGTGACACAGTGTCTTGTGTGTCACACGAGATACTAAACAGAAAGCTGATTCAGGCAAAGAGGATGGAAAGGTGACTGTATAATGTGTGAGTAAAGTACTACACTACCAAAGTACAAGCTGAATAAGAATGATACTTTGATCCAATATTATAGAAGATTCTTGGCAAAGTACAGAAACAAACATGTTTTACCTTTTGATTTAACGCTCCGATGGTCTCTCGCACTTCCTCAGTTTCCATGAGCAAAGTGGAAGTGGCCTTTTTTGTTTCTGTGAGAAGAGAACAAACATAATATTTACTGGATTGACTGGATTCTGGAATTTAAAACTGGTTATGATCCCTGAGCCTATGATCCACACCACATCTGCGTTTTGTGTGAAATATTGTGTCACAATCATAAACAAATGACAGTAAATAACAATAAAATTAACAACTGGATTCCAGAGAGTCTGAGATTTACAACAAGGTACAGCCGGACTGTGTTGGTGGAGCTGAAGTTGGTTGGATGACACTGTCAAACTGCCTCGATGGCCACTGTGTGTTAGCAGCAGAGGGCCACATGAAATAGCACAGAGGACCGCAACTGGCTCGTGGGCCTGAGGTTGGACATGCCTGCTGTACAGTGTTCTAGAAGTGACAGAAGTGACTACATTTTACACCAGCCAGAGACAAATGGCGACAGCTTTGTTTTGAGACATGTCACTCGAGGGCGGACCGTTAAATATTTATAAGAAGCACAGGTCGGTGACAGGTTTATCAGAGAATATGATCCAAACACAGACTCTTCATTTCCCCATTTGTCTAATGATCTCGTTGGTGTCAGACGATCTGCTCGGTCTGAGGACATTTCTGTTCATGCATCTGCTCATATTTCCCGATAGCGGCTCTAAAATGACCACGGAGTGAACTCAAAAACACCCGTGGGTCCTCGCTGCTCGCCGCGGTCGTACCCTGGGAGCTGCTGAGGCCTCTGGGACGCTCCTTGGGCTCGTTGTGCTCCACGTTGAAATGAAAAGCAGGTCGGTCGTCTTCGATTCCATCCACGACTCTGAAACGGCAGAGATGGGAGAGGGTTTGTGGTGGAAACTTTGCAGTCTATGGTCTAAAATAACACACACACCCTTCGATTTTGAAATAATGTGTTTCATATTCATCATAAATGTTGTAATGAGGTCGACACTTCTTTGCAGATTCAGTATTTTCAGATTTGGTTTTAGAAAATTCATCATTTGAACCCAGACAGGACGAGATCGAGAAACTTTTAAATATCCACTTTACCTTATCCAACCTGTTTTTAGAGAAACGTGGAAGTGGGAAACCAAAGACCAGGATCAAGACCAGAGTAAGACCAGGGTCTAGACTTTGGACCAGGAAGTCAGTCGGAGCAGGGAGAGTCAGGGAAAGATTGATTCAAAGGAACTCTTGAATATCTGGTCAAATTTTGATCTTGCTACACAAGTATCAGTGTGTCTCAGTGGGTCTCTCTGGGTCTCAGTGGGTCTCTCTGGGTCTAAGGGGGTCTCAGTGGGTCTCAATATGTCTCAGTGGGTCTCTCTGGGTCTCAGGGGGTCTCAATATGTCTCAGTGGGTCTCAGTGGGTCTCTCTAGGTCTCAATAGGTCTCAGTGGGTCTCAGTGGGTCGCTCTAGGTCTCAGTGGGTCTCAGTGGGTCTCAGCGGGTCTCAATAGGTCTCAGTGTGTCTTTCTAGGTCTCAGTGGGTCTCAGTGTGTCTTTCTAGGTCTCAGTTGGTCTCTCTGTGTCTCAGTAGGTCTCAGTGGGTCTCAGCACGTCTCAGTGGATCTCAGTGTGTCTCTCTAGGTCTCAGTGGGTCTCAGTGGGTCTCAGTGTGTCTCTCTAGGTCTCAGTGGGTCTCAGTGGGTCTCAGTGGGTCTCAGTGTGTCTCTCTAGGTCTCAGTGGGTCTCAGTGGGTCTCAGTGGGTCTCAGTGTGTCTCTCTAGGTCTCAGTGGGTCTCAGTGGGTCTCAGTGGGTCTCAGTGTGTCTCTCTAGGTCTCAGTGGGTCTCAGTGGGTCTCAGTGGGTCTCAGTGGGTCTCAGTGTGTCTCTCTAGGTCTCAGTGGGTCTCAGTGGGTCTCAGTGTGTCTCTCTAGGTCTCAGTGTGTCTCTCTAGGTCTCAGTGGGTCTCAGCGCGTCTCAGTGGGTCTCAGTGTGTCTCTCTAGGTCTCAGTGGGTCTCAGTGGGTCTCAGTGACTCTCTGTGGGCCTCATTACCAGCGACCATGTGCCTTGATAACTGGCTACACCTGGTATCTCCACCTGGTCTGGAGGAGCGGACACTGGAGCTCTCGGACCAGAGTCTCGCCGTTTCTGCGGGTGACTCACACACGTACATCATGAACACAGCAGGTGGACGCCGCGCCATGTTATCATTTATTAACATCATACTCTCGGCGGACAAGTTTCCAGTGGTGTGAAATTAGAGCCATCTTGTCCAATGCATTAAAGTGATCTCCCAAAGAGCACATAGCTCCTGAACGCTGCCCCAACAGGACTTTAGCTTCTTTCTGATGATATTTTTCTAGTATTTGACTGTTATGGCCTGGTTTTATACCTTGACTTCTACTTCTAGTCCATTTGTGCTTTATACAATGCAACAAAACAGCACAAAATACAACATATCTATTCTTTGCCGCTGACTTCTTGCTCTTAATTGGTTTTTGATGATGCCTGGACATTTTTACAGGACATAACAAAAGAGAAATCAGTTCTTTTTATGGTCAAGAAGTCTTTTGTTGTGGGTTTTATTCTGATAAATGTTTCTTCCCATCTCCAGAGGTGTAAGTATATTGAGAATAACTGTTCAGACTGAGTGACATACATTTTTCCATTCGTCCCACAGACAGAGATGGAAGCAGAGCCGGAACCATCGCATGTTTTCAGAGCTGCGGGTAACCATAGCAACCAGAGGAAATCTATGCCACAGGGAGAACATGCAAACTCCACACAGAAAAAGGCCTCGTCTGGAATGGGAATGGATTTCATAAAAACAAAGCCATTTTCTAACATTGCAGCTGAATATTGTCAACATTTGGACACGTTTGTCTCGGACCAGAGTTGCCACGAGACTAAAACGACTTGATTTTGACACTAATAAAAAATACTTCTTTAAATATTTGTATCCATTTTTGAAAAAAACCCACAGTTGTTATGGCAATGGATTTGTTTCCCGGTTCTATATTTTCTCAAATTAGCATTTTGGTGTGCATTAATGTCACTAACGTCTGCTGTCAATGTGTCCCTGGGCAAGACACTTAGCCCCGCTCTGCCTGAAGCCCCCGCTGAAAGACCCAGAAGATTCAGTGGGGAAATTTCAGTGTTGCATCATCAGTTACTGAGGAGTATGAATGAGGAGCACACAGCACAAGATAAAGGAAGTATTAGCCTTTGAGCCTGAAGGTCGTGGGTTCGATTCCACCACGAGACCTTCTCCACCGACTCCCACTGATGTCTGCTGTCGTTGTGTCCTTGGGCAAGACACTTAATCCCACTTTGCATGAAGCCACTGAAAGCCCACAGTCAGAGCTGCCTTCCCAGGACTCAGGGGAGACCCACTGAGACCCACTGAGACCCACTGAGACACACTGAGACTGACTGAGACTGACTGAGACCCACTGAGACACACTGAGACTGACTGAGACCCACAGAGACACACTGAGACTGACTGAGACCCACTGAGACCCACTGAGACCCACTGAGACACACTGAGACTGACTGAGACTGACTGAGACCCACAGAGACACACTGAGACTGACTGAGACCCACTGAGACTGACTGAGACCCACAGAGACACACAGAGAAACATCGAGACCCACCGAGACCCACCGAGACCCACCGAGACCCACCGAGACCAAGCGAGACCCAGCGAGACCCAGCGAGACCCAGCGAGACCCAGCGAGACCCAGCGAGACCCAGCGAGACCCAGCGAGACCCAGCGAGACCCAGCGAGACCCACCGAGACCCACCGAGACCCACCGAGACCCTGGTGCTTTGTGGACTGGATGATGCTCTGACTGCCACCCCCCTCCCGACCCAAGAAATGGATTAAGGGGAAGAAGAGCTTTTCCCTCTGTACCTGGGGCTGAGGTCCGCGGGGCTGAGGCAGGTGACCGTGGGGATGAGAAGCTTGGACGGTTTCAGCTCGGCCTCGGACTTGGCTCGGGTGGAGATCCTGGGGGAGGTGGGGGCCGGGTGCTGGTGCCTGGGGTGGGGCTGCGGGGACAGGGCGGGCATGGGGATACTGCGGCTGAGGTTGGGCGAGCGGCAGTGCCTCAGGGCGTTGAACTGGCGCAGCTCGTCCCCCAGCAGGTTCCCCAGGGAGGTGCGGCGGACCGGGCTGAAGTGCGGCAGTAAGAGGCTTCGGCGCGAGCGGGCGGCGGGTGAAGCGTGCGCCGAGTCATCGCTCTGGGTCTCCACGATGGAAGGCAGCCGCGACTCCTGCAGAAGGACAAGTCTGATGTAAACAAAACACAACAGCAATAGACAAACAACATACACACAGAGGGTATAATACACAAGCGGAGACGGCGGGTGGAAAATTAGCCTTTAGCTAGAAGCGCAATGTACTTGATATGGGTTAGCTTTAGGAGGTTGGACCCTGTCAAAAAAAATAATAAACTATATTTTTGTGGTAATCAAAGGAGCAGTATGTAAACATGTGGCCAAAAGTGGTACTGCAGCCTCTCCCACTCTCCCTGACTCAGGTTGCCAGATATGCAGACGAATCCAGCTGGGACCATAACAGCTGAATAGACAAGAGTTTTGTCAACAACAAATCTATAACCAACACCTTTTTCACAAAGATAGAAATCCTGCTTTTATTCCTTGTTTTGTCGTTAATGATTTGAGAATCATAACGAGACATTTTTTAGTTCTGCGCCACATGATACTTTACCAGTGAGATTAGCTCCACGCGGTGAGTTCTGGCGCCCGGATCACAGACTTTCTGATTGGTGAAACGGTGGAGGGCGGGACATTGAAATGAAAACAATAACAAGATTTAGAGGCTGGAAAAGTAATTTAGAAATTCAAATATCTCTGAGTGACTGTTATCAGTTAAAGAAGTATTGGAAAAGAACAGATTATTATTATGACAGATTAGGGCCCTTTAATGATGACAGGTTAGGACCCTTTAATAATGACAGATTAGGGCCCTTTAATGATGACAGGTTAGGGCCCTTTAATGATGACAGATTAGGGCCCTTTAATGATGACAGGTTAGGGCCCTTTAATGATGACAGATTAGGGCCCTTTAATGATGACAGATTAGGGCCCTTTAATGATGACAGATTAGGGCCCTTTAATGAGGACAGATTAGGGCCCTTTAATGATGACAGATTAGGGCCCTTTAATGATGACAGATTAGGGCCCTTTAATGATGACAGATTAGGGCCCTTTAATGATGACAGATTAGGGCCCTTTAATGATGACAGATTAGGGCCCTTTAATGATGACAGATTAGGGCCCTTTAATGATGACTTTATGACATTCTTGTGGCTTTAACACTGAAATATCTTGATTCCACTGTATTCGTACAGTAACACTTACATGCCTGAGCACAAAACGAATCAAAAGTGTCCTTCACGTTTCTCTTGTTCAATAAAAAAACTGCAGATTACCTTGAAACTGTTCTACAGCTTCGCACACCGCTGGGGACAGAATATTTAATCTAAAAATCAGTGCAATGACAAAGAGAATCACACGAGAAGCTATTGACCCAGATGCTACGGCGCCTCCTCCTGGGACTGGACCGTGGCTCGGCTCCAAATGAGTTTCCAGCTGCAGGGGAAGTCCTTGGTCAGCCCCCCATGGTCTCAGAGGTGGTGGAGGCCCCCCATGGTCTCAGAGGTGGACCCCCATGGTCTCAGAGGTGGTGGAGGGTGTCCCAGAAAACCAGGAGAGGGAGGGGGTCACTACACAGCACTGAGCAGACTTCTCAATGTGCTTTTTTTAACCACTTTAGTAATAAACTTCTAGCCTGGTCTTACCACACCATAGTACTCATTTAAGTGGTACTAAAGTCTGGATTGGCTCCAGTGACTCCGTGAACAGGTGGGAGGGGCTAACTCCTTTTACAGATTGAAACGATTGGATCTGAGTTTACTGTGACGTATGTAATGAGCCCGAGTGAGTCGTTAGCATTTAGCATTTAGCCTAGCTTTAGCCATCATGGTAAGACCAGACGTACATGTAGGAGATGACCATGGACCAGAGTTTACACATGGTAAGACCAGACGTACATGTAGGAGATGACCATGGACCAGAGTTTACACATGGTAAGACCAGAGTTTACACATGGTAAGACCAGACGTACATGTAGGAGATGATCATGGACCAGAGTTTACACATGGTAAGACCAGACGTACATGTAGGGAATGATCATGGACCAGAGTTTACATATGGTAAAACCAGACGTACATGTAGGAGATGATCATGGACCAGAGTTTACACATGGTAAGACCAGACGTACATGTAGGAAATGACCATGGACCAGAGTTTACATATGGTAAAACCAGACGTACATGTAGGAGATGATCATGGACCAGAGTTTACATATGGTAAAACCAGACGTACATGTAGGAGATGATCATGGACCAGAGTTTACACATGGTAAGACCAGACGTACATGTAGGAGATGATCATGGACCAGAGTTTACACATGGTAAGACCAGACGTACATGTAGGAAATGACCATGGACCAGAGTTTACACATGGTAAGACCAGACGTACATGTAGGAAATGACCATGGACCAGAGTTTACATATGGTAAAACCAGACGTACATGTAGGAGATGATCATGGACCAGAGTTTACACATGGTAAGACCAGACGTACATGTAGGAGATGATCATGGACCAGAGTTTACACATGGTAAGACCAGACGTACATGTAGGAAATGACCATGGACCAGAGTTTACACATGGTAAGACCAGACGTACATGTAGGAGATGATCATGGACCAGAGTTTACACATGGTAAGACCAGACGTACATGTGGGAAATGACCATGGACCAGAGTTTACACATGGTAAGACCAGACGTACATGTAGGAAATGACCATGGACCAGAGTTTACACATGGTAAGACCAGAGTTTACACATGGTAAGACCAGACGTACATGTAGGAGATGACCATGGACCAGAGTTTACACATGGTAAGACCAGACGTACATGTAGGAGATGACCATGGACCAGAGTTTACACATGGTAAGACCAGAGTTTACACATGGTAAGACCAGACGTACATGTAGGAGATGATCATGGACCAGAGTTTACACATGGTAAGACCAGACGTACATGTAGGAAATGATCATGGACCAGAGTTTACATATGGTAAGACCAGACGTACATGTAGGAGATGACCATGGACCAGAGTTTACACATGGTAAGACCAGAGTTTACACATGGTAAGACCAGACGTACATGTAGGAGATGATCATGGACCAGAGTTTACACATGGTAAGACCAGACGTACATGTAGGAAATGACCATGGACCAGAGTTTACACATGGTAAGACCAGACGTACATGTAGGGAATGATCATGGACCAGAGTTTACATATGGTAAAACCAGACGTACATGTAGGAGATGATCATGGACCAGAGTTTACACATGGTAAGACCAGACGTACATGTAGGAAATGACCATGGACCAGAGTTTACATATGGTAAAACCAGACGTACATGTAGGAGATGATCATGGACCAGAGTTTACATATGGTAAAACCAGACGTACATGTAGGAGATGATCATGGACCAGAGTTTACACATGGTAAGACCAGACGTACATGTAGGAGATGATCATGGACCAGAGTTTACACATGGTAAGACCAGACGTACATGTAGGAAATGACCATGGACCAGAGTTTACACATGGTAAGACCAGACGTACATGTAGGAAATGACCATGGACCAGAGTTTACATATGGTAAAACCAGACGTACATGTAGGAGATGATCATGGACCAGAGTTTACACATGGTAAGACCAGACGTACATGTAGGAGATGATCATGGACCAGAGTTTACACATGGTAAGACCAGACGTACATGTAGGAAATGACCATGGACCAGAGTTTACACATGGTAAGACCAGACGTACATGTAGGAGATGATCATGGACCAGAGTTTACACATGGTAAGACCAGACGTACATGTGGGAAATGACCATGGACCAGAGTTTACACATGGTAAGACCAGACGTACATGTAGGAAATGACCATGGACCAGAGTTTACACATGGTAAGACCAGAGTTTACACATGGTAAGACCAGACGTACATGTAGGAGATGATCATGGACCAGAGTTTACACATGGTAAGACCAGACGTACATGTGGGAAATGACCATGGACCAGAGTTTACACATGGTAAGACCAGACGTACATGTAGGAGATGACCATGGACCAGAGTTTACACATGGTAAGACCAGACGTACATGTAGGAGATGACCATGGACCAGAGTTTACACATGGTAAGACCAGACGTACATGTAGGAAATGATCATGGACCAGAGTTTACACATGGTAAGACCAGACGTACATGTAGGAGATGACCATGGACCAGAGTTTACACATGGTAAGACCAGACGTACATGTAGGAGATGACCATGGACCAGAGTTTACACATGGTAAGACCAGACGTACATGTAGGAGATGACCATGGACCAGAGTTTACACATGGTAAGACCAGACGTACATGTAGGAGATTGTAGATTTGCATAACTCACATGAGGCCGTGGAGATCTCGGGCACCGGGAAAGACTCTGCAAAAACAAAACCAGGAAATGTAATCACAGAAGAATGATCCATTGTCATCAACAGTCATTAATTCAACACGAGCCCAACTTTAAAACGTGAATAATAAAATCGTTTATTTGATGTCCTCATGTTTTATTCAAAGTGTCCTTTGTTGTTTTGATGCTGACCTCGGTCGGCGGCTCTTCAAGCTGCACACACGAAATTAAATTTTAAAAAACAAATTCCCGAAAATGCAAATTAAAAATGTGGCTGCACTGAAAAAACAAAAGTCTTGGTCAGATTTATTCACAAAAAATAATATAAATGATGATTATTTATTGATTTTGCCTGAATGTAGTTTGTCATAAGATTGTTTTGCTATAGTTTTAAAATAATAATACTTTATAATCTCAGAGAATAAAGTCTGAGCCGTGAGTTTTTAAGCTTGTTTTACGTATTTTTTCTTATTTCCAGATTTTTCTTGTTCAGATAAAATAAGTTTGTGATGCTTTATTTTAAGAAAACCTCAAAAATGTTTTAAAAAATAAGTAAATAATTCTTTAAATGTATTTTAGTAAGTAATCTTTATTTATATACCGCCTTTTCACTGCAAATTTGAGTCTCAAAGCGGTTTACAATTGTTAATTTTTTGGGCATTTGTCTCTCACTCCACACAGAGATGGGAGCGGGGTCGCCAGTACAGGAGGCGCATGCCAGAACTATTGGACATATTTTTAGTGGTAGGGGAAACCGGAGTACCCGGAGGAAACCTACGCAGACACGGGGAGAACATGCAAACTCCACTCAGAAAGGCCCTGGTCCGACCGGGATTCGAACCCAGGACCTTCTTGCTGAGAGGCGAGAGTGCTATCCACTCAGCCACCGTGCCGCAGTATTTCACTTATTTTCATGTATGTTTTAATATCTTTCTGGCCCCACACAGAAAACAAACCATTTTCTCCTCGGTCCTGAAGAAGCATCTTGTTTGGCCCTAATCTGCCAAAGTTTGTTCAGAGTTGATTTGATAAATTTAGACAAAGACATGTTCTCCTTAAATCACGCCCCAGAGCGACAGGAAGTGAGTAATAAGTTTCCCCAAGACTTTAATTGAACATCGGTATCAATTATAAACGCGTGTCCTACATTGTGGAATTAGAACATAATTAAGAAATAAGGAAAAGATTAAAAGTGGCGTTCAGCTCCGAGTATCGCCTGAAACTGGAGACCACGACTTTTGTAAACGTTTGGAAATACCTTGAATATGTTGTAAAATACGGTGCATTAAGGCTTTACGGAATAGGCCTTGTTTTGTTGTTATTTTTTATTTTTTTACAGTGACAGTGTACCGTAAATATTAACCAAAATGAGAGGTTTTGTACATTTTGTCTGGAAATAAGAAAATTAAGCTTAAAAACTCACTGCTCGGACTTTTTTCTCTAATAAGTATCTTAAAACTAGTAAAATAATCTCATGACAAACTGAATTCAAGCAACAAAAACTTGAAAATAAGCATTATTTATTTTATTTTTGATGAATTAATCCCACAAGATATAGATTTTTTCAGTGAATCTGGTCTGAAGAGAAAGCAACGCTCAGAGACTTGATTGTCATTCTCTCACAGGATAATTCTGCCTCTTCTGGGCTTTAAAACGAGGTACAACATGTCTATATTGTCTGAGCTGAAGTTGGATGGATGACACTGTGAACTTTATGATTTCAAAGACAAGAGGGCCACATACACTGACACTGAGGGCCGCAATTAGATACAGTCTCTCTCTACAGCCGCTCTCTACAGCCGCTCTCTACAGCCGCTCTCTACAGCCGCTCTCTACAGCCGCTCTCTACAGCCGCTCTCTACAGTCTCTCTCTACAGCCGCTCTCTACAGCCGCTCTCTACAGCCGTTCTCTACAGCCGCTCTCTACAGTCGCTCTCTACAGCCGATCTCTACAGCCGCTCTCTACAGCCGCTCTCTACAGCCGCTCTCTACAGCCGCTCTCTACAGCCGCTCTCTACAGCCGCTCTCTACAGCCGCTCTCTACAGCCGCTCTCTACAGCCGCTCACTACAGCCGCTCTCTACAGCCGCTCTCTACAGCCGCTCTCTACAGCCGCTCACTACAGCCGCTCACTACAGCCTCTCTCTACAGCCGCTCTCTACAGCCGCTCTCTACAGCCGCTCACTACAGCCGCTCTCTACAGCCGCTCTCTACAGTCTCTCTCTACAGCCGCTCTCTACAGCCGCTCTCTACAGTCTCTCTCTACAGCCGCTCTCTACAGCCGCTCACTACAGCCGCTCTCTACAGCCGCTCTCTACAGCCGCTCTCTACAGCCGCTCTCTACAGCCGCTCTACAGCCGCTCACTACAGCCGCTCTCTACAGCCGCTCTCTACAGCCGCTCTCTACAGCCGCTCTCTACAGCCGCTCTCTACAGCCGCTCTCTACAGCCGCTCACTACAGCCGCTCACTACAGTCGCTCTCTACAGCCGCTCTCTACAGCCGCTCTCTACAGCCGCTCTCTACAGCCGCTCTCTACAGTCTCTCTCTACAGCCGCTCTCTACAGCCGCTCTCTACAGTCTCTCTCTACAGCCGCTCACTACAGCCGCTCTCTACAGCCACTCTCTACAGCCGCTCTCTACAACAGCCGCTCTCTACAGCCGCTCTCTACAACAGCCGCTCTCTACAGCCGCTCTCTACAGCCGCTCTCTACAGCCGCTCTCTACAGCCTCTCTCTACAGCCGCTCTCTACAGCCGCTCTCTACAGCCGCTCTCTACAGCCGCTCTCTACAGCCGCTCTCTACAGCCGCTCTCTACAGCCGCTCTCTACAGTCTCTCTCTACAGCCGCTCTCTACAGCCGCTCTCTACAGCCGCTCTCTACAGCCGCTCTCTACAGCCGCTCTCTACAGCCGCTCTCTACAGCCGCTCTCTACAGCCGCTCTCTACAGCCGCTCTCTACAGCAGCTCACTACAGCCGCTCTCTACAGCCGCTCTCTACAGCCTCTCTCTACAGTCGCTCTCTACAGCCGCTCTCTACAGCCGCTCTCTACAGCCTCTCTCTACAGTCGCTCTCTACAGCCGCTCTCTACAGTCTCTCTCTACAGCCGCTCTCTACAGCCGCTCTCTACAACAGCTGCTCTCTACAGCCGCTCACTACAGCCGCTCTCTACAGCCGCTCTCTACAACAGCCGCTCTCTACAGCCGCTCACTACAGCCGCTCTCTACAGCCGCTCACTACAGCCGCTCACTACAGCCGCTCTCTACAGCCGCTCTCTACAACCGCTCACTACAGCCGCTCTCTACAGCCGCTCTCTACAGCCGCTCTCTACAGCCGCTCTCTACAGCCGCTCTCTACAGCCGCTCTCTACAGCCGCTCTCTACAGCCGCTCTCTACAGCCGCTTTCTACAGCCGCTCTCTACAGCCGCTCTCTACAGCCGCTCTCTACAGCCGCTCTCTACAGCCGCTCTCTACAGCCGCTCTCTACAGCCGCTCTCTACAGTCTCTCTCTACAGCCGCTCTCTACAGCCGCTCTCTACAGTCTCTCTCTACAGCCGCTCTCTACAGCCGCTCACTACAGCCGCTCTCTACAGCCGCTCTCTACAGCCGCTCTCTACAGCCGCTCTCTACAGCCGCTCTCTACAGCCGCTCTCTACAGCCGCTCTACAGCCGCTCACTACAGCCGCTCTCTACAGCCGCTCACTACAGCCGCTCTCTACAGCCGTTCTCTACAGCCGCTCTCTACAGCCGCTCTCTACAGCCGCTCTCTACAGCCGCTCTCTACAGCCGCTCACTACAGCCGCTCACTACAGCCGCTCTCTACAGCCGCTCTCTACAGCCGCTCTCTACAGCCGCTCTCTACAGCCGCTCTCTACAGCCGCTCTCTACAGCCGCTCTCTACAGCCGCTCCCCACGGTGCAGAAACACCCTCTGCTGTGATCAAGGACAAAGAAGTCAGACTTTGTTCTGGAATCACCTCCAACAGAAATAACCCAATGTTACTCCGGGGGGTTGGCAGTCAAAGCTACACACAGGGAGAACATGCAAACTCCTCTCAGAAAGACCGACCGGGATTCAAACCCACGACCTTCACGGACCTATTCTTCAGCCTCTCATTTTACACATGCATTTAACAGGTGATTTCTGTCAAACTTCCCTCTTTTCAGATGGAGATTACAGGAGAACGCAACCAGCTAAAAACACACTTATTTTTGCTGATAAAAGAAAAAAGTCCAGTCTTTCAGAATCTGGTTTTATATTTCACAAAGTCCCAGCACATAATATTCAATGGGTCATCAAAAACAGCTGCATTTCTTTATGTATGTATTTTTTATTAGAAAGTCAACGAAGGGAACAACATAAGTCTAAATAAGTATTATTGATATTATGATGTAACCAAGAGTTCAAATCCATAAATGTTATCACTTTGTTAAATCATATGTAGCTAGATTATAGGCTGCTAAAATATATTGTCTGTATTGTCAGTCACTGTAGCTCCAGGAAGACTCCAGGAAGTCTGGGAGCTCATAAGTTAAACATCAGGAGGAAGAAGGCTTTGTTTACTCTAATACCGAGTGGCTTTTGTGGTGTTGGTACCTCTTTTCCCATCTGCTTATGAAGGTGTGTCCTGTACTGTCAGAAGGACCTTGGACACGGCTGAGCTTCAGACATGTTTCTGGACACGAGACGCTAACAATATCGCAGTCAGTGTGTGTTGTGCCGAGGTCAAAGGTGGTAGAAAGAGTTTAAATAAGCGTCTGTGGCTAAGAGGGGTCAGCGGCTGTGGTTTTAATGTCATGGACTTGTTCTTTGGGCAGAATCCGTCAGGCGATACGGCCGCCTGACAGAGCCTCTTACACAGAGTAATTGCTGTGACAATCAAGCTATCAGCGGCTGCTTCGGTGTCATGGAAAGTGGGAGAGGTAAGTCAGAAGGCACAGAACTACACCGGAGTAAAACTGGAAAAGTATCTCCAGTAAAGACAGAGACCAGATAAATGCGGTTTGAAACAGACTAAGTGACTCTCTAAGACTGTAAAAAGTCACCCGCATGTTTAATGGTTATTATGTTGTTTTTGTGTCGTAATAAAAAGTCACAAATGCAAATAAGATGCATAAACTTTCTGCAAATATCAAACCTTTGGACGCCACAGAACGGTAAAGTTCTCTGCCCTCGGTCTGAATAAACGAAGTCATCGAGAAATTAAAATCTAAATGTGAAAACTTATGGCAGGCCTGTCCAAACTCAGGCCCAGGGGCCAATTGCGGCCCTCAGTGTCAGTGTATGTGGCCCTCTGCCTCGCTAACCCACAGTAGCTTTGAGATCATAAAGTTCAGACAACATCGGGCGGCATTGTGGCTGAGTGGATAGCTACCGTTTCTCAGCAAAAAGGTCATGGGTTCGAATCTCGGTCGGAACAGGGCCTTTCTGAGTGGAGTTTGCATGTTCTCCCCGTGTCTGTGAAGGTTTCCTCCAGGTGCTACGGTTTTCCCTACCACTAAAAACATGTACAATAGTTCTGTGCCTCCTGTACTGGCCCCGCCCCTATCTCTGTGTGGAGTGAGAGACTAATGCAGCTGGTGAGATGGTAAACGTGTGTCATTCAGCCAACTTCAGCTCAGTTATAGTCCAGCATAAAACAGTCCAGTCATGACGGTTTTTCAGTCCGTGATCTTGGGCCCTGGACTGGTCTGGAGAACTAAAGTGGCCCTCTGACTGAGAAGTTTGGACACCGCAGTAGGAGAAGGGGCCGGTACCTCGTCCTGGCTTCCTTCGCGCAGGTTGTAGGTGAGGTTGTTGTTGATCTCGGCGTTGAAGACGTTGGCGTACTCGGGGTAGAGCTCCAGCACCTCCCTGAGCCCCCGCACGCTGATGTACTGCAGGTCACTGTACGTCAGCGCCTTCACGTCTGCGTTGGTCTTGATCACCTGCTCCGTCATGGGCAGGTCACAGCCAATCAGGTTCCCCTTCTCTGCAGAAGACAAGAGGCGGCCATTTTAGCTTCAAGCAATAATAATAGTAATAATAAAAATGTATCTGTTTTATGTAGCGCTTTTTGGGACACTCAATGACGCTTCAAATGTCATTATTCTGTCACTCCAAACACTGTGGTGATTGTAGCCACATCTGCCCTGGGGCACACTGACAGAAGCGAGGCCAGGTGAACATCATGGAACAGACACGAACCCATGGGACCTACACTTAAAGGAGTCCTGAAACATTGGTTCAAATCAAACCAGTCCTGCTCTCTCTTTCTCTCTGTCTCTCTCTGTCTCTCTGTCTCTCTCTCTCTCTCTCTCTGTGACGGCCCCCTCTGCTGGGCCTGTGGTGGCAGTGTTCATATGACGTTCAGAGATGATGGGAGGCAGCTGGGAAGTCATGTGACCTCCCGGATGCTTAAAAAAGCGGCTTCCCCTCACTCTCTCTCTCTCACCTGGCTTCTGGGCACCTGCCGGCGTGCCCGGACTGCCGCTACCATTCTGGGCCCTGTTGGACCAGCCGCCACGCCAGTTTGTCTTTTCATTTACACGCGCTACAACACAATATATGCACTACAACGGTTGTCCTACTGACTTTCAGATACAACACCTTGCACCCCACAGCATACCATTCACTTACACTGATTTCATACAGATTACTTTATTATTGTTTAAATAAATGCCCCACAGAGGGTTTAAACTTCTCAGTTTGTCGTGTCCTCCCTCTCATGTTATGATCTCTCTATCTCTCTATCTCTGTCTCTCTCTCTCTCTCTCTCTGTCTCTGTCTCTCTCTCTCTCTCTCTCTGTCTCTGTCTCTCTGTCTCTCTATCTCTCTGTCTCTGTCTCTGTCTCTCTCTCTCTCTATCTCATTCTCTCTCTCTCTATCTCTCTGTCTCTCTCTCTCTCTATCTCTCTCTGTTCTTTCTCTTTCTCTGTCTCTCTCTCTGTCTCTCTCTCTCTCTCTCTCTCTGTCTCTCTCTCTCTCTGTCTCTCTCTCTCTCTGTCTCTCTCTCTCTATCTCATTCTCTCTCTCTCTATCTCTCTCTGTTCTTTCTCTTTCTCTGTCTGTCTGTCTCTCTGTGTGTGTGTGTGTGCGTGTCTGTGTGCGTCTGTGTGTGTGCGTCTGTGTGTGCCTGTGTGCGTCTGTGTGTGCGTGTCTGTGTGTGTCTGTGTGCGTCTGTGTGTGCGTGTCTGTGTGTGTCTGTGTGCGTCTGTGTGTGTGCGTCTGTGTGTGTGTGTGTCTGTGTGTGTGTGTGTGTGTAGACGAACCTAAAATGGCCAGGACCGTGTTGTTCTTGGACACCTCCAGCGACCCGGAGCAGACAAAGTAGTTGGCGTGCAGAGCGTCTCCCTGTCGGATCAGGAACTCTCCAGGGACGCAGAAGGAAGTCTTTATGTGCAGCGAGAGGGAGCGCAGGCAGCCGCGACTGGCTCCTTTAAACACGGGCTGCTGCAGGATGTCCTTGTTCAGGTGCATGGTGATGTCGGCGCGCAGCTCGTCCGGGAAGTCGTGGAGCAGCTGAGGAGCAGACGCACAATGACTTATTATGATGATTAATTGTTATTACTCAATGTGTGTAGTCTGTACCTGTCCATTTTTAAGTAATCTCATCTGTCTGTGTTTTTGGGTAACTTTGCTGCCTCAAGGCCACGGCTCTCTTGAAAAAGAGGTTCTTAATCTCAATGGGGTTATTCCTGGTTAAATAAAGGTTAAATTATTAAAGTATATTGTGATTAGAATTTACTGTATTTGAATAAAGGGGAATTGGATGATTTGAAGGTTCGACACTAGGGGTCTCCAAACTGTAGCTCGCCAAAGGATTTAGAAATGATAAAATTACATGCTTAAAGGAGCAGTGTGTAAACATGTGGCCCAAAGTGGTACTGCAGCCTCTCCCACTCTCCCTGACTCAGGTTGCCAGATATGCAGACGAATCCAGCTGGGACCATAACAGCTGAATAGACAAGAGTTTTGTCAACAACAAATCTATAACCAACACCTTTTTCACAAAGATAGAAATCCTGCTTTTATTCCTTGTTTTGTCGTTAATGTTTTGAGACCATAACGAGACCTTTTTTAGTTCTGCGCCACATGGTACTTTACCAGTGAGATTAGCTCCACGCGGTGAGTTCTGGCGCCCGGATCACAGACTTTCTGATTGGTGAAACGGTGGAGGGCGGGACATCGAAATGAAAACAACAAGATTTAGAGGCTGAAAAAGTAATTTAGAAATTCAAATATCTCTAAACTACTGTTATCAGTTAAAGAAGTATTGGAAAAGAACAGTTTATTATTATGACAGATTAGGGCTGTTTAATGATGACAGATTAGGGCCCTTTAATGATGACAGATTAGGGCCGTTTAATGATGACAGATTAGGGCCGTTTAATGATGACTTTATGACAGCAGCTCTCTGCCTTTATCGTCCCTGGACAGTAGCTCTCTGCCTTTCTCGTCCCGGGACAGTAGCTCTCTGCCTTTATCGTCCCGGGACAGTAGCTCTCTGCCTTTATCGTCCCGGGACAGTAGCTCTCTGGGTGGAACAGGTTGGAGACACCTGTTCTACATCTTAGTTAAAGTTATTCTGTAGAGTAAAGGCAGGTCACAGTAACTTAATCCAAAGCAGGATGCTACCTCCTCAGAGATCATACTGTGGTTCAAGTTTAAAGGTAACAGAAGGAGGACATAATTCTGAACGATCGGGTGTCGCGGCCGTGGATCCTTCTGCCCCGTCTTCCTTATCTGGAAAGTTTTGTAAGCGAAGTCTGTGATGAGAGGCTGGGGTCAAGTGGTTAAACAAACCCATGTGCACGGTGTCATGTGGCAGTGAAAGGGACTCCAACCTCATTGGCGTCGATGCCATTGTTGACGGACCACGTGGTCTGGAAATACTCCAACATGCGCTGCTTGAGCTGCTGCGGCAGGTGATGCACGCGCACAAAGTCCTTCAGGTCCTTCATGCGCGTGTGGTACAGCGAGCGGCGAGAGTACATGCGCTGGATGATGGCGGTCACGTTCCCGAAGACCAGAGCGTGCATGAGCGCTGCAGAGAGAGAGAGAGCAGAGTGCAGAGAGAGAGAGTGCAGAGAGAGAGTGCAGAGAGAGAGAGTGCAGAGAGAGAGAGTGCAGAGTGCAGAGAGAGAGAGTGCAGAGAGAGAGTGCAGAGAGAGAGAGTGCAGAGAGAGAGAGTGCAGAGAGAGAGTGCAGAGAGAGAGTGCAGAGAGAGAGTGCAGAGAGAGAGTGCAGAGAGAGAGTGCAGAGAGAGAGAGTGCAGAGGGAGAGTGCAGAGAGAGAGAGTGCAGAGAGAGAGTGCAGAGAGAGAGTGCAGAGAGAGAGTGCAGAGAGAGAGAGTGCAGAGGGAGAGTGCAGAGAGAGAGTGCAGAGAGAGAGAGTGCAGAGGGAGAGTGCAGAGAGAGAGTGCAGAGAGAGAGTGCAGAGAGAGAGTGCAGAGAGAGAGAGAGTGCAGAGAGAGAGAGTGCAGAGAGAGAGTGCAGAGAGAGAGTGCAGAGGGAGAGTGCAGAGAGAGAGTGCAGAGGGAGAGAGTGCAGAGAGAGAGTGCAGAGAGAGAATGCAGAGAGAGAGTGCAGAGGGAGAGAGTGCAGAGAGAGAGTGCAGAGAGAGAGAGTGCAGAGAGAGAGAGTGTGTGCAGAGGGAGAGAGTGCAGAGAGAGAGTGCAGAGAGAGAGTGCAGAGAGAGAGAGTGCAGAGAGAGAGAGAGAGAGTGCAGAGAGAGAGTGCAGAGAGAGAGAGAGAGAGTGTGCAGAGAGAGAGAGAGTGCAGAGAGAGAGAGAGAGTGTGCAGAGAGAGAGAGAATTCAGAGAGAGAGAGGGAAAAGAGAGAGAGAGTGCAGAGAGAGAGAGAGAGCAGAGGGAGAGTGCAGAGAGAGAGAGTACAGAGAGAGAGAGTGCAGAGAGAGAGAGTACAGAGAGAGAGAGAGAGCAGAGTGCAGAGAGAGAGTACAGAGAGAGAGAGTGCAGAGAGAGAGAGTACAGAGAGAGAGTGCAGAGAGAGAGAGTACAGAGAGAGAGAGAGAGAGAGAGAGCAGAGTGCAGAGAGAGAGAGGGAAAAGAGAGAGAGAGTGCAGAGAGAGAGTGCAGAGAGAGAGAGTGCAGAGAGAGTGCAGAGAGAGTGCAGAGAGAGAGAGTGTAGAAAGAGAGAGTGCAGAGAGAGAGTGCAGAGAGAGAGAGTGCAGAGAGAGAGTGCAGAGAGAGAGTGCAGAGAGAGAGAGTGCAGAGAGAGAGTAGAGAGAGAGTGCAGAGAGAGAGAGTGCAGAGAGAGAGAGTGCAGAGAGAGTGCAGAGAGAGAGTGCAGAGAGAGAGAGTGCAGAGAGAGAGTGCAGAGAGAGAGTGCAGAGAGAGAGAGAGCAGAGGGAGAGTGCAGAGAGAGAGAGTACAGAGAGAGAGAGTGCAGAGAGAGAGAGTACAGAGAGAGAGAGAGAGCAGAGTGCAGAGAGAGAGTACAGAGAGAGAGAGTGCAGAGAGAGAGAGTACAGAGAGAGAGTGCAGAGAGAGAGAGTACAGAGAGAGAGAGAGAGAGAGAGAGCAGAGTGCAGAGAGAGAGAGGGAAAAGAGAGAGAGAGTGCAGAGAGAGAGTGCAGAGAGAGAGAGTGCAGAGAGAGTGCAGAGAGAGTGCAGAGAGAGAGAGTGTAGAAAGAGAGAGTGCAGAGAGAGAGTGCAGAGAGAGAGTGCAGAGAGAGAGTGCAGAGAGAGAGTGCAGAGAGAGAGAGTGCAGAGAGAGAGTAGAGAGAGAGTGCAGAGAGAGAGAGTGCAGAGAGAGAGAGTGCAGAGAGAGTGCAGAGAGAGAGTGCAGAGAGAGAGAGTGCAGAGAGAGAGTGCAGAGAGAGAGTGCAGAGAGAGAGAGTGCAGAGAGAGTGCAGAGAGAGAGAGTGTAGAGAGAGTGCAGAGAGAGAGAGTGTAGAAAGAGAGAGTGCAGAGAGAGAGAGTGCAGAGAGAGAGTGCAGAGAGAGAGAGTGCAGAGAGAGTGCAGAGAGAGAGAGTGTAGAAAGAGAGAGTGCAGAGAGAGAGAGTGCAGAGAGAGAGTGCAGAGAGAGAGAGTGCAGAGAGAGAGTGCAGAGAGAGAGTGCAGAGAGAGAGTGCAGAGAGAGAGTGCAGAGAGAGAGAGTGCAGAGAGAGAGAGTGCAGAGAGAGAGTGCAGAGAGAGAGTAGAGAGAGAGTGCAGAGAGAGAGAGTGCAGAGAGAGAGAGTGCAGAGAGAGTGCAGAGAGAGAGTGCAGAGAGAGAGAGTGCAGAGAGAGAGTGCAGAGAGAGAGTGCAGAGAGAGAGAGTGCAGAGAGAGAGTGCAGAGAGAGAGTGCAGAGAGAGAGAGTGCAGAGAGAGTGCAGAGAGAGAGAGTGCAGAGAGAGAGTGCAGAGAGAGAGAGTGCAGAGAGAGTGCAGAGAGAGAGTGCAGAGAGAGAGAGTGCAGAGAGAGAGAGTGCAGAGAGAGAGTGCAGAGAGAGAGAGTGTAGAAAGAGAGAGTGCAGAGAGAGAGTGCAGAGAGAGAGTGCAGAGAGAAGAGAGTGCAGAGAGAGAGTGCAGAGAGAGAGAGTGCAGAGAGAGAGTGCAGAGAGAGAGTGCAGAGAGAGAGAGAGTGCAGAGAGAGTGCAGAGAGAGAGTGCAGAGAGAGAGAGTGCAGAGAGAGAGAGTGCAGAGAGAGAGTGCAGAGAGAGAGAGTGTAGAAAGAGAGAGTGCAGAGAGAGAGTGCAGAGAGAGAGTGCAGAGAGAGAGTGCAGAGAGAGAGTGCAGAGAGAGAGAGTGCAGAGAGAGAGTGCAGAGAGAGAGTGCAGAGAGAGAGAGAGTGTAGAAAGAGAGAGTGCAGAGAGAGAGTGCAGAGAGAGAGTGCAGAGAGAGAGTGCAGAGAGAGAGTGCAGAGAGAGAGAGTGCAGAGAGAGAGAGAGAGTAGAGAGAGAGTGCAGAGAGAGAGAGATTGCAGAGAGAGTGCAGAGAGAGAGAGTGCAGAGAGAGAGTAGAGAGAGAGAGTGCAGAGAGAGAGAGAGATTGCAGAGAGAGTGCAGAGAGAGAGTGCAGAGAGAGAGTAGAGAGAGAGTGCAGAGAGAGAGAGTGCAGAGAGAGAGTGCAGAGAGAGAGAGTGCAGAGAGAGAGTAGAGAGAGAGTGCAGAGAGAGAGAGTGCAGAGAGAGAGTGCAGAGAGAGAGTAGAGAGAGAGTGCAGAGAGAGAGTGCAGAGAGAGAGTAGAGAGAGGGTACAGAGAGAGTGCAGAGAGAGAGAGTACAGAGAGAGAGAGTGCAGAGAGAGAGTGCAGAGAGAGAGTGCAGAGAGAGAGTGCAGAGAGAGAGTTCAGAGAGAGAGAGTGCAGACAGAGAGAGAGTGTATAGAGAGAGTACAGGGAGAGAGAAAGCAGAGAGAGAGAGAGAGAGAGAGAGAGAGATACTGTCAAATACATCCATCTGATCACATATATTTATAGAGATCCTTTGTTCCTTCAGCTGTCAGACTGTACAACAAACCTCGATGAGTCTTCTGCTGCTGCACACCTGCATTTCTCCTACAGGGGATCAATAAAGTATCTATGTATCTATCTATCTGAAAACTTGACCTGAGTCCAGTCCAAACCCGTCTCTCTCTCTCTGAGTCCAGTCCAAACCCGTCTCTCTCTCTCTCTCTCTCTCTCTGGCACACGACGACCTGAGTCCAGTCCAAACCCGTCTCTCTCTCTCTCTGAGTCCAGTCCAAACCCGTCTCTCTCTCTCTCTCTCTGGCACACGACGACCTGAGTCCAGTCCAAACCCGTCTCTCTCTCTCTGAGTCCAGTCCAAACCCGTCTCTCTCTCTCTGAGTCCAGTCAAAACCCGTCTCTCTCTTTCTGAGTCCAGTCCAAATCCGTCTCTCTCTCTCTGAGGCAAGTCCAAACCCGTCTCTCTCTTTCTCTGAGTCCAGTCCAAACCAGTCTCTCTCTCTCTCTCTCTCTCTCTCTCTCTCTGGCATACGCCCACCTGAGTCCAGTCTACCCCGTCTCTCTCTCTCTTAGTCCAGTCCAAACCCGTCTCTCTCTCTCTGAGTCCAGTCCAAACCCGTCTCTCTCTCTCTGAGTCCAGTCCAAACCCGTCTCTCTCTCTCTGAGTCCAGTCCAAACCTGTCTCTCTCTCTCTGAGTCCAGTCCAAACCCGTCTCTCTCTCTCTTAGTCCAGTCCAAACCCGTCTCTCTCTTTCTCTGAGTCCAGTCCAAACCAGTCTCTCTCTCTCTTAGTCCAGTCCAAACCTGTCTCTCTCTCTCTGAGTCCAGTCCAAACCTGTCTCTCTCTCTCTGAGTCCAGTCCAAACCCGTCTCTCTCTCTCTGAGTCCAGTCCAAACCTGTCTCTCTCTCTCTGAGTCCAGTCCAAACCCGTCTCTCTCTCTCTTAGTCCAGTCCAAACCCGTCTCTCTCTTTCTCTGAGTCCAGTCCAAACCTGTCTCTCTCTCTCTGAGTCCAGTCCAAACCCGTCTCTCTCTCTCTTAGTCCAGTCCAAACCTGTCTCTCTCTCTCTGAGTCCAGTCCAAACCAGTCTCTCTCTCTCTTAGTCCAGTCCAAACCCGTCTCTCTCTCTCTGAGTCCAGTCCAAACCCGTCTCTCTCTTTCTGAGGCCAGTCCAAACCCGTCTCTCTCTTTCTCTGAGTCCAGTCCAAACCCGTCTCTCTCTCTCTGAGTCCAGTCCAAACCCGTCTCTCTCTCTCTGAGTCCAGTCCAAACCCGTCTCTCTCTCTCTCTCTCTCTCTGGCATACGCCCACCTGAGTCCAGTCCAAACCCGTCTCTCTCTCTCTCTCTCTCTCTCTCTCTCTCTGGCACACGCCGACCTGAGTCCAGTCCAAACCCGTCTCTCTCTCTCTGAGTCCAGTCCAAACCCGTCTCTCTCTCTCTGAGTCCAGTCCAAACCCGTCTGTCTCTCTCTGAGTCCAGTCCAAACCCGTCTCTCTCTCTCTGAATCCAGTCCAAACCCGTCTCTCTCTCTCTGAGTCCAGTCCAAACCCGTCTCTCTCTCTCTCTGAGTCCAGTCCAAACCCGTCTCTCTCTCTGGCACACTGTTTGTTTGTTTGGCCTCACACTTGGTCCATCACTGCGAGTGTCAGACGCACCCCCGATGAGCATGATGCAGATGGAGAAGATCTTTTCGGCGTCCGTGTTGGCGCAGACGTTCCCGAAGCCCACGCTGGTCAGGCTGCTCAGGGTGAAGTAGAGAGCGGCAATGTAGGAGCTCTCTACCGAGGGGCCGCCCACGGAGCCGTTCAGGTACGGGGTCTCCTGCCGTTTGCCCAACTCGTGCAGCCATCCTTCAATGACACAGGGCAATAACGGTCAAATGTCAGCTTTCAGAACAGCAGCAGTAAAACCACATTGGAAAAACATCCGCTGAAGTCCCCAGTGTGCACCAGACAAGAGCAGACATAAAGCAAGGTTAGAAGTACAGAGGTTTAACTAGGCAAGATCATTTAAAGTCCTCTGTTTAAACTGATGACAGCTCGTGGAAAGACGCTGTTAGTAAAACGAGATGTCCTGCGTCTCAGCGAACCATATCTTCTGCCAGAGGGAAGAAGCTGGAACATGGCTTTTCCAGGGGCCAGAAGAGTCAGAGATTATTCAAAGAGCTTGGAGAAATGTTACTGGACACTTGGATTTCTCCTACAGGGATCAATAAAGTATCTGTCTGTGTGTCTGTCTGTGTGTCTGTCTGTCTGTCTGTCTGTCTGTCTGTCTGTCTGTCTGTCTGTCTGTCTGTCTGTCTGTCTGTCTGTCTGTCTGTCTGTCTGTCTGTCTGCCTGCCTGCCTGCCTGCCTGCCTGCCTGCCTGCCTGTCTGTCTGTCTGTCTGTCTGTCTGTCTGTCTGTCTGTCTGTCTGTCTGTCTGTCTGTCTGTCTGTCTATCTATCTCTCTCTCTCATTCACACATTCACATAACCCGTATTACATAATAAGTTAAAGATACTCCGCACACGTATAGTAAATGCTGGACAGTGGGGCAGACCTGGACCCAGACCAGGACCCAGACCTGGCGTGAGTTTTGATGTGGCCACAGACAGTCCTCATTAGTGCACAAGTGTGTGAGGTTTGTCTCATCTCTCTGCAGAACAATGTAAGGGACTCTGGACAGGGACATGTGGATATTTATAGAACAAACCAGCAAATCCAAACACAGAATCAAAAATGTGGAAGCTAGTAGACAATGCATCTTTTCTGTTCGCATTGTTTTCCATCTGGTATCGGTTTAGCATTAGCATAACAGTGAAGTTAAGTAAATATATAATTCAGGTCTTTCTCTATGTATATTTATGCACATAATTAAGCTTTAAGTTGAATACAATAGACCGATGTATGCTGCTTTGGTCTGATCAGATCCCTGTGTCATTACTTTCAGCAAATTATGTTTCTAAAATCATTCCGGATGAGATGGAGGAGGTGGGTGTGGATTGGGAAGTCTGGGCCTCTCTGCTTAGACTGCTGCCTCTGCGACCCGGCAATGGATAAAGGGGAAGAAAATGGATGGATGGCATTCGGATGCTGTTAGATACTGACCCATGAGCAAAGAGAAAGAGCAGTAGTGTCAAAATAAATAAACTAGCGTACTAATTAGCATAGCATACTAGCATAATGTTGAGTCAGTAGCAGTGGTCCATGGTATCTTTCTATGGTGTTTGTAATGTGCAGTGGTCCATGGTATCTCTCTATGGTGTTTGTAATGTGCTGTTGAGAGGAACGTGGGGAGAATGTGTGGCCAGGACTTGTTTTATCGAGTTGGAGAGACTTGTTTCATTCACTGAAGCAAAAAGAGGTGTTTTTTTTCCCGCAGATGTGTCTTGGCCTCACCTATGTCCCAGTTGTCAGTTTCAATCTCTTTCCGTCCAATGAGATACCAGATACAGGCCATCCAGTGAGCGAGGAGGGCGAACACGGACATGAGGAGGGTCAGCACCATGGCGCTGTACTGAGAATAACGATCCAGTCTTTGCAGCAGCCGCAGAAGCCGCAACAACCGCACGGTCTTCAGCAGGTGAACCAACGAGGTCTGAAGGAGAAGGGTCAAACAGGGAGTTATGATGATGTAGACGCCAATGAATGACCCACTGTCTTGTTGAGCTGAAGCAGGCATGTCCAAACTCAGGCCCGCGAGCCAATTGCGGCCCTCTGTGCGATGGTATGTGGCCCTCTGCTGCAAACACAAAGTCTCCAGCTCTGTTGACAAGGCTACATCAAACGGAAATTCGCTCGTGGGCTAAGAATACAGTCAACATATACAATCCAGGTTGTCATCTCCAGGACAAGTCTACACTGGACAACTATAGTAGCCCTCGATCTAAAAGGTTTGGACCCCCGGCTGCACTACATGTGTTTAAAGCCATACGATGGTAGTAGTCTGTGATCAGTCTGGTGAGAGGCATTTTCATAGCCACCAGAAATTGCTCCTTATGATGCAAGTTCCTTCAGAGGTAAAAAGCTCTAAAGTTATTATGATGTAGACCACAATGTGTTGTAGCTACAGAGCGACGCAAAAAAGACATGAATGACCCTCTTTCTTGTTGAGCTAAAGCAGACAGGTCAAACTAAGGCTCGTGGGAAAAATCTGACCCGCAAGACCAGGTCCAAACTCAGGCCCGCGAGCCAATTGCGGTCCTCAGTGCGATTTTATTTGGTCCTCTGCTGC